AAAACAAGGGCTTAGCCCAAAAGCTGAGCGGATTGCTGTAATCCCTGCTAATAATGAACTCTCTGGTGCAGTTAGAAGGAAAGAAACGAAGTCTGCCTCATAATTCCAGCCCTGAAGGATGGATGGCCCAGATGAAATGCATCTGGGATGAATTCCTCCTGGTCCCCATTGCATGCACACCTTCCTTTTTGTGAAAGCGGATGGTACATTCTGCTCATCACGCAGGCATTGGAGGCATCGGTCAGCAACTTGGATGGCCGCATGGCAAGCTATGTAACGCAGATCCCTAAACACATATATACCTTAAAAAACCACAGGGCAAGATCAGCTCACTGCATCTAAGCCTTCACGGTGCCTCTAAGACATACTTACCCGCAACTCACTTCTGGGCCCAGGTGGGCTCTGTATTTTTAAGAAAAGTCGTGCAAGGAAATGTTTCTAAGCTAAGAGAAGCACATTCGTTAACAAAACCAATATCCTCAATTCCTGCAAAACTGCTGGTGAGCACACGGGAGGAGGTCGAACTGCGCAGACACCAACCAATCAGGACCGTGCACACCAAGCTCCGCAGTTCCCCGGCTGCCTCAGTTGCTAGGAGGCTTGTCTAATCCCTCAGTTTAGATTTGAGGATACTTAGGAAAGAATGCAACCCCATGTCAAGGACGAGACATCTATTGAATATGACGATGATGCAGGATGCAAAATAGAAAAAAGTAAATGAAATGTCGCGCTCCTCTTCTCTGTGTCTTATTGGCTCCCTGAATAAGTCAGGGGATTCCCTGAGGGCCTGCAGAGTTCTCTGGGCAAGCAATGCTTCAACTCTTTGCCCTATGCCAAGAGCAATGTCTCCTGTCATGGATTTTCTAAAGTTCTTCCCACCATGCACAGACACTAACCAGGAGAGAGTAAAGAGGCTTTAGTAAAAGAAACAGTTTCTTTCTCACAGCACAAATTGCCCTTGTCTATGGGATGACCGGATGAGGCAGCTTCAAAGCAATGATCTCTGAAGCTCTTCTGGTCAAGAGGTCTTGGCATGGTTCCAAAACTATCCTGGCTTTTGGACACTGGGACGATTCTCTCTACTCCCTGTTGAATTTTAATAACTTCCTCACTGTTCTTCCAGTACAGCCCATGCAATGTACAAACTGCAGCCCTGGAATGGATTAAGTGCCTATGGCAGAAATGAAGCAAATGCATCTCCAAAGCACAACTCCTCCTCTTTCTTATGTGCATTCCGTTCACACCTAGAACTGGACCATCTGGTCCAGTAACTCCCAATGGAGTGCAGAGACATTCCAGTGTGCTGTAAGGAAAAGACATGAATAAAAACCTAAAACCACATTTTAAATCGGCATTAACCATTTTGATCACATATCACAGATTATTAATTATTGTAACTATCTCTAGGGTGTCAGCCATGCATCTGACAGCACGTACACCCAGAATTTTAAACAGCTCCAAGGGCCAAGTGGATGGAAAGGAGAGCAGCACTGCAGTAACCTGTGGTAAGGTGGGCAGCTGGACTGGAGTAAGAACCCATCTGGTTGGCACATTAGATTAGGGGACCTTGGAGAGCCGGGCTGCAGTTGCCACTCAGCCGTGAAGCTCACTGGATGATTTTGAGCCAGTCACGGACTCTCAGCCTAGCCTACCACACAGGGTTCTTGTCAGGATTTTAAAAAATGAAGAGGAAGAGCTTTGGATACTTTGCAGGGGGAAAGGCAGGATACAAATACATTAAATTTTTGAACATCTCAGTGTATATTCCAAGAAGATTTCAGGCATGCATCTTCCACTGTGATTGAAAATGCAATGATAATTCTTCCAAGAAATCCAGCTTTTAAGGGTGTGACTGTAGCAGGTTAGCACCCACTTGCTAAAACCTTTGGTCTTAGCAGCCTGCAGTTCCCTGTGTCCTGTCAAGCTACTGACAGCAGGGCAAGAGAAGTGACAGGCATCTTTTGCTCCCCTTCCTTCTTTTTGTAATTGTTCTTCCAGATGGGCCTCCAAGTCCATCTAGAGGAGGTGCACTGACTGCTGGAACAGAGGGACGAAAAGGCCTTGCAAATCTTGGCCCCTTCTCTTCCCTGCTTCTCTTCCCATTCTCTGCTTCAAAGGTGACCTCCCAAGCAAGCTCTGTAGTTCCTTCTGCAGTCTCCTTCCCAAAGCCCTAGCAGTGTCTACAGCTTCAGGAAGGAGAACCTACAAAATTTTATGGTCCCTGGGACGTGATCCAGGGAACACAGGCACACTCCCTGAATCTCTTGTGAAAATTGGGAGCGATGTGACTGCAAGAGATGCTTCCTTGTGTTGAGATCTTTTTCTGCAGCCATTTATGACCAATTCCTTTTAGTTTGGTTTTGGTTGGAATTGCCCCAGGTCACCCCTCTCAGGCTAAACACACCCTCGATGCAACCTGTGGATTAAATCATTATGTTTTTGAGCTTCCTGTGTGATTTCCAGACCCAGCCACCCCCAAAAGGGTGTTAGACAGCATGCAGGACTTTGCAAATTGTGCATGAAAAAATGTACTTTTGCAAGATGCACACAACTGTGCTCTAATAAATGGCAGGAGAATGTGTACTTCCCAAAGATGAGCAAAAAGGATGCATACAATTGGAAATATCCCTGTGAAAATATACGTGATTGTTCACGCAGAAAGAAAGAAAAACATGCAGATTGCAATGGGATACCAACATAAGATGGAATAAGTTTCAAGGTGGAATTTGAAGAACTCTGACAAGCTCCAGTTTTGCTGGTTTGCACACCACTATCTCCCTCAGCACGCACTCACGCACGCACGCACGCACACGCCATTCTTACCATAACATTGATTTATGTTTTTATGTATAGTACTTTTGTGCCTCAAGATATTAACATTTCTATGTGGTTCACATTAAAAATGCAAGGTAACAAGATGATGGCAAGGAACGGTTTAAAGTAATGCATCTTTGTAAGCGTGAAAGAAGGTGGTAGCGGAGTCCCTTGGAGGTCCAGGGAAGCCTAAAGGGTGCCCCTGTTTCTGCCTCTTGAGCAATGAGGACGCTTCCTTTGTGTCGAGCCGTTTTCCCACCCTGCCCCTCTGGAGGCTTCCTTGCTGGCTGGCACGGGTCTGGTCCTTAATTTTTGGCCCACCCCTCTCGCCTTCACCCCACCCTCTTTTGCCTTTGGCCCTGCCTAACCCTGAGAGCTTTCCCAAAAGGGGGATGGGCCTCCAGCAAGACCCCATTCCACACCCATGTTTTAAAGTGCTCTTGTTTTTGTGCCATTGTGATTCTATCCTGCCTTTTCTCCTTTTGCAAGGAACCCAGGTGGAATACCCCTTTTATCCTCACAACAACCCTGTGAGGAGGGCTAGGCTGAGAGTGAGCTTCATGGCCTAATGGGGACTGGTTCCCTGATCTCCCAGTTCCCCAATCCAACACTCGTACCTCATGGGAACTCTCATTGCTAAGCACTTATCCGATATTACTGCTGCCTTATCCAACCTGGAGTCAGACGGCAACTCCCATGATCCGCAGTGACCACCTTCAGCAAGGCAATCTTGCAGTCCTTTAAACAGTGATGCACACACACATCCCAAAAGCCAACACCCCTAATCCTACCAAGGAATGTTATTACCCCCAGGGTGCTTTGTACCGGTGCAAAAATTTAATAAAAGCCCTTTGCATGACGCAGCGAGCCAAGGGCTCTCCAACAGGTGATGACAATTTCCTAATGGAGAGTGGAAATGAAAAGCAGCCCAGTGCCCAAGAAGAGCCTTGGCATAATTAGACAAGGTTGCCAGGGGAACCAAGATCTGAAAACGTGTCAACAGCTTTGCCACTGGATGCAGAATGGCCAGCATCTCAAAGCCGTCAGATGCACATCGGCTGCTGCGAGAGAGAAGGCATCAGAGGAACTGTTCCCCAGGGAAAGCGAGGGTGCAAACAGGGAGGGGGGGACGCCCGGCGACTTGTTGAAAGCTCCGTGCTACACAGAGAATGCACCTGGGTGCTGCCCGCAGGCCCAAGTCCCAGGGGTGGGATGCTGGCTGCAATCAGGCATTGCCGCTGCAACGGGGCAATTAGCCTGCATCCCGGGACTGCCGTTGTCCTGAGATCCAGAGCCCGCCTATAGGTTTGGACATGGTTGCCTCTGCATCTCACCAGCCACCCCAAAGTCTAACCTTACACAGCTCCGGCTGCTTTCCCTGTCCTACTTTCCAGGGGGTTACAATGCCCAGGAAGGCTCAAGAGTGGGGCAGAGTAAAGGCAGGGCCAATTTCCCCCAAAAACACAGCATTCCGAGGTGGGATAGAAATATAAGGAAGACAAACCGACTTCAGCCTCTTGGCTTGAACTGCCGGGGAAGGGAAAGAGACTTTTGGGGAAAGAGACCAGCTCTCCACAAGTGGTAGGAACTGCTTTCCAACGTCCTTTTTCTTTCATTTTGGAGACCACCTGGGGAGGGATCATTCCAGCGTGAGAGCATTCCAAGACAAAACGGTGGGATCAAAGGGTGGGGTTTTCGCTTACAGCATTTCCTACCAGGAGCTCCACCCCAGGAAAGGTATTTCAACATTTTAGAACAGAGGGAGCTGCACAAAAGCTGGAAGGCCATCGAGTGGTGGTGGAAAGGGCATTTGGAAGCCCGGTGGCTGGCTTGGGAATTCAGGTGTGGCCCTCGCAAGTGTTCCCCATCCCTGCTCTAGACACAAAACCATTTTTGCTGCAATCATTCTGTAGCTAATCCATCAAATACTTTGGCTAAACAAGACTATAGGTGATAAACCCTGCCACTGGCAGATGACCGTCTTCTACAGAGAGGACATACTTCAAAGGTATGGACACACTGCTTAATTATGTCTTCGAATCCTGCAGATTTCCATTTGTTTCCCTAAGAGAAGATGGACTGCTGAATGTGCCTGACCTGTGAAGAAAGGGAGGGTTCTCTGGCTGATATTGATCTTTTGGACAATTTGGGGATTTTCAGAGTTCTGTCTTCTTCCTCCTTCCCAGGTCTATGAAAGAGGAACAAATGTGGACCAGTTTGTGACCCGCTTCCTGCTGAAAGAGACAGCCAATCAGATCCAGTCCTTGCTCAGCTCTGTGGAAAGTGCTGTGGATGCTATTGATGAGCAAACCAGTCAGATAAGGTGTGGCGGCCTTTATCCGGCCTCGAGGCCTTCCCATATTAAATCCAACCAGTTCTGTGGCCTGTTGCCTTCTTCTACGCTTTGCTGTGCTTGGGTGTTTGTCAGTGGAGCGACGGTCCAAGCAGCGATGCCGCGGTGCTCAGCCCCCTTCCCAAGCACATTCCTGCACCACGGATCGCTCCTTGAATGTCCGGGCTGCGACTCATCAGCCCCTGGCGCATTTGAGCACCTTACCTACTTCTCCTTTCGATGGGAGGTCCCTGAGCCCCACAGGAGGCTCAGTGGCAGAGTCTGTTTGCTCACAGAAAGTCCCAAGTTCAAGTCCCAGCATCTCCAGGCAGGGCTAGGAAACAATCCAGGCTGCTGGCAGGCTGTGTGGACGAGACTGGGTAGATGGTCTGAAGGACTGCTGAAGTGGTCCATATTCCAAACTGTCAGGATGATCAAAGTCACAGTGTCCAAAGACTCTCTTCCTCGGTGCTGCGGACCGGGAAAAGGTGTGAATTAGCCCAGAGGGGTGAGAACTGCCTTCTAGATCCATGGCCCCTTTCCCTCCCACCAAAGGAGAGGGAAAGGGACACGGAACAAGATGCTAGGAAGCACAGTCCAATTCTGGCTCAACAAAGAAGAGTTGCAATGACATCTCACACGGCTCTGCAAAGCTGCACGCTTGTTGACCAGAGCCCAAAAATGGTTGCTATGGAAATAGAGGGGGCAGCCAGAAGCTCATTTCAAGCATTGCCTGCCCACCCCCGTTCTAAATCAAAGACAATAAGCAGCAGGTCACGGAGATACAGGGAAGAATCTCTCTGCTTATTGGCGCCTCATTAGCATTCAAGACACTAGGAAAGGGGTTGTCGGCTTCCTTCCCAGCGGCCCCCACACTCAGCCTCCACCTTTCCTGCGATGGAATCCCATACATGGCTGCACAGAAGCAGGCCCACTGGCTTACAGCCCCATAAGCAAGCCTCAGATTGCAGTCCGGCAGAGAGCAAAGGCTTCCAGTGCCGGCCAGTGTGGAAACGGGGCCCACGTGCGTGCCGTGCCCCCTCAGCAGGGCATGAAGGACATAGGGACCAATGCGCGGGATGGAGTGGCAGCGGTGCTCTGCCACTGAGCAGGGCTTTCCCCAGCTAAGAAACCCGCTTGCCAGTGGAGCAGGGATTAAGTCTGGAGCAATGAGACCTGCTCAGCTCATGCCCTTGCCTTTGCTTTCGAAGGTGCAGGTGCAGCACAGAGGGATGGGGGCAGACCTGAATGCCAAAAGCAGGAGCGGGGGAGGGAAGGGGGCGAGGGGGGAGGCATTCTATTTTCCAATTATTTCAGGGCCCAGCATGACCATGCATGGCTTCTTTTTCCTTGGCAAAAAGGTGGCATCGGGAGACGTTCCACTGGAAGGAAATCGAGTGTGCTTCTCCTTCTCTTCCTGGCTCCTTCCATTTTTCCTTGCTTGAATTTTGCTTTTTGCACCAGCCACGGGTTGCCAACAGCAGCCCACTGCATCTTCACGGGAATAATTTAGCCGCCTGGGATGATCTCCCTGCATTGCAGGGGGCAGGAGGCATCGCCCCCACACGCTCTCCCCCCTCAGTGTGGTCCTCGCTTCAGTGCGACGGTGCCGCAACCTGCAGATATGCTCCTGCCAGATCCATAATGAGGATGGTGGGTGGGGGTATCATCTCTTATGAAGCCGGCACGTGCCACACCACAGCGAGGGGCACCATGCTCCCCACGTGCGTTCGCAGGGCCAGCCCAACCGCTGGGCGGGGGGAACAACTGCCTTAGCATGGAGCCATTGGAGCAAGTAGTGCTTGGAAGCCTTCTCCTCCACGTCTCCTCCCGTCCCCTGTTGAAGCTGTCCAGATTAGCTCTCTCTCCCTTGGTTCTCCTCATCAGAGGACCCTGGGAAAGGACACAATGAGCGGTAGCCAGAGCCAAGGGTGCGAGGGGTTGACCCCAGAAGGCCAGGTTGGGATCCCAGATGATGCCATGTGGGTGCCATTTGTCCCCACCCTGGCCTGAGGTCCTGCAACCTGGGTGAAGGTTGGATGATTTGACAGAGCCCCATGTTGCATCAAGAACGGGAGGAGGAATAGAATTCACGACTGAGACCCCCGGCTGGTTCTTGGGTCCTCAACCCTATGGATACAGTGAGGTGATATGCAGTCTTGCCCAGGAAAGTCAATGGGTGTCCAGTGCACAAACTGAGCGCATTGAGCTGCTGCCAGAGATGGAAACAATCGCAAGGCAATTAGTCTTTGGAAGGAGCAGGGACAGACTTACTCACAGGGCTGCAAATGAGAAAGTCAATAATGGCTTGTATCCTCTCTGCGTTCTGTGAGCCCCCCAAATAACAAGACAGAAGCAAGCGATCATCTTCGGGGCGCCAGTGGGGTGGGCTTCTCAGCAGAGAGCCATGCGGAGCTGGCTCGCAGAGCTGAGATCTTGCCACACGCACTATTTTGCCACACCAAATTACGCACTGTTATGGCTGAATGTCTGGCATATCGACACAGCCTCGTGCAGCACTTGGCTGTGGAATAACGGAACATTCTCTTGCTACCTCTTTATCACGCTTCCCCTAATTTCTCTGCCTCCTCCCAGCTCCTACTTTTGAGTCTCTCCAACAGATACATTTTTCACTGCATAATTCTCCGGCAGATGTCGAGAATGCTGGCTTGTTTCAGTGATGGGAGTAGAAAGGAAATTGTTCCCTTGGCAATTGGCACTGCTCAGTGGCAGGTGATGCGCCTGCTCATGGACCGTTTGTGAGCAACTGCAGGGGAGCATGGAACATGCTCGAATAGACATTTAAGGAGAGCATGCTTGGGTTCAAAGGAAACCTGGCAGAGTGCACCCCCTAGCATTCACAGACTTCCTCTTGCACTTGGCCAAGCCAAGCCTTGGAATGTGAGCTGAGCCTGAGCTGAGAAGAAGTCCATAGATGCTCCTGGGACAGAAGTTGCATGAACCACCGCCTTCTTCTGCCTTGTAGCGGCTGCTGAATTGGCCTGCGAGCACAGGGCAGGAGGACCGGCACGCGAACACGGCCCGTGTTCAGCCTCTGGGCTGCAACCAATCGGGATGAGACTGGGGAGCCGAGCCCAAGGAATCTAATGGATTCCCACCCCCAAGCTGGATTCCTTGCACATACCTTCTGTATACCCCACATTGCCCCTTGCAAAAAGTTGCTCTCTTGCCAGCCATGAAAATGATGAACACGGGCATTAAACACTCTCAGAACGATGCACAACTGCCAGTGTGCCCTAGCCAGTACGAACAAAAAGAAGCTGAAAAGACAAAACCACAAAGGATGAGAGCGAACAGACAGTAAACAACAGGGGTGGGCGATGCTGATGCAGGGAATAACACTTTTGATTGACAGCAGTTAGAAAGATGATCTAATTCCATTGGGTGGGAAGTTCCATGTCTGGGCCAGAATGCCATATCTGGCAGACTGGCTACCTTCCTCCAGGAACATCTTCCACCAATGCCGAGGGTTAACAAGCATCCGCTTGGATGAATTTCAGTAATATATACTCGTATAATGGTGAATGATTGTGAACTGCCCAGAAAGCTTCAAACATCTGGGCAGTATAGAAATGTGTTCTGATTAATCTGGGCAGTGGACCTGGGCATTTGGTTCTGATATCTCACGTCGGGATGAGCTCCGTTCCATTGCAGTTCCTAGTCCAGGAAACGTTGGGGTAGCAGCTGAATGTGGAGTACCTTTGAATGAAAAACTACTTACGAATAACAATTCAAATTTTTATTCAGATGTTGCTTTGCATCCCTCTGTTTATCCTTCTCCCACTGCAGGCATTTCCACTGTAAATCTGGACACATGGACACCTGGTATGATAACCCCATGCCTAATTATTCCCCCAATAACAGAATCATGACCAAAGAACGCAGGAAAAGTTTCCAGACTGGTAAGTTTCACCGCAGGCGCTGGGAAATCAACCCTGGTTAGGTCAGTTGTGTGCTAGCAAGGCCAGGTGAGCAGTGGAGGTTGGATTATGGAAAAGATGTGTTCTCCTGATCTATTGGCTTTCTCTCTAGCTTTTGGGATATAATCCTCATTTTACTGATATTCTTTTGTGCCACTAGTGGGAGGACTACAGAAACAGTTGGCAACTGGAATTTTCAGATGCGAGGAGGGAGTCTCTAACTAGAATTCACTGAAACATCCGGGGGTGGAAGGAAGAGAAGTTGCTTTCTTTAGAATTAGTGGTTGTGATTCCTGCCTGTTTGTGTTTGCCTGAACTTTCTGAGCTAGGAGACTTGTAAATTAACAATATATGGAAGAGATGCTGTAATTTTCCAACTGACCAAACTGTCCAAGCAAGGATGAGCAAACCAGTGGACATCCAAATGTCATTGGACAGCAATTGCCATCGGTCCTGACCTTTCCTTTGGTCATTCAGGGTGGGGCTGATAGGCTTCAGAATTCAACACATACCCTGTCCTGCTCATAATATTATCTCAGGAATTCCTGGTCCTAAGGGGAATTGGGGACCTATAGGTATTTATTTATTTATTTATTTATTAAAACATTTTTATGCCGCCCCATTCGCCGAAGCCTCGGGGCGGCTTACAACATAGATAAAACAAGTTAAAATCCATATAAAATAATCTTAATTAAAACTCACATTATAAAATAAGCCGCCCTGGCCAGATAAAATTCAATTGTATTTAGCATTTAAAATGTTGCTTAAATAAAAAGGTCTTAGCCTGGCGCCGAAAAACAAATAACGACGGCGCCAGGCGGACCTCTCTGGGGAGCGCATTCCATAACTTAGGCGCCACCGCTGAGAAAGCCCTTCTCCGAGTAACCACCCTCCTAATTTCTCTCACGGAGGGCTCCCGGAGAAGGGCCTCTCCCGCCGATCTCAGGGGGCGACTGGGCAAATATGGATGTAAGCGCTCCTTCAGGTAACCAGGACCCAAGCCGTTTAGGGCTTTATAGGTCATTACCAACACCTTGAATTGGGCCCGGACTTCAATGGGGAGCCAGTGAAGCTGACGGAGAACTGGCGTCATGTGAACATAACGTCCAGTCCCCGTCAGCAGCCTGGCAGCTCTATTCTGAACCAATTGAAGTATCCGGACCGTCTTCAAGGGTAGCCCCACGTAGAGCGCGTTACAGAAGTCAAGACGGGAAGTCACCAGCGCATGAGTCACTGTTGCAAGGCAGTCGTACTCCAGATAGGGGCGCAGCTGATGAATCAGCCGAAGCTGGAGGAAAGCGCTCCTCGCCGCTGTTGTCACCTGAGCTTCAAGTGAAAGCTCCGGGTCGAGGAGCACTCCCAAGCTGTGGACCTTGTCCCTAGGAGGGAGTGCAACCCCATTCAGGACAAGGTTCAGGTCACCTTCTCTGAAGCCCGAACCGCCAACCAACAGGACCTCCGTCTTGTCTGGATTGAGCTTCAGTTTATTGGCCCTCATCCAGCCCATTACCTCGGCCAGGCACCGGTTCAGTACAGCCACTGCCTCACCTGGATTGGTGGAAAACGAGAGGTAGAGCTGGGTATCATCAGCATACTGATGGGTCCGCAGCCCACACCTCCTGATGACCTCTCCCAGCGGTTTCATGTAGATATTGAACAGTAAAGGGGACAAAATGGAACCCTGCGGTACCCCATGGCAAAGCTGCCATGGCGCAGAGCCATAGTCCCCCAACACCACCTTCTGGAATCGGTCGTTGAGATAGGAGCGGAACCACCGCAAAGCGGTGCCTCCGACCCCCAATCCCGCCAGCCTATCCAGAAGGATACCATGGTCGATGGTATCGAAAGCCGCTGAGAGGTCCAGGAGAACCAACAGGGACGCACTCCCCCTGTCCTTCTCCCTGCACAGGTCATCGTACAGGGCGACCAAGGCAGATTCAGTACCGTACCCGGGTCTGAAGCCGGACTGAAATGGGTCCAGATAATCAGTTTCATCCAAGAGTGCTTGGAGTTGTCCCGCCACCACTCGCTCTAACACCTTGCCCAGAAACGGGATGTTGGCCACTGGTCTATAGTTAGCGGCCATCCCTGGATCCAGTGACGCCTTCTTCAGGACCGGTCGGACTACCGCCTCCTTTAAAGGGGCAGGCACCCGACCCTCCCTCAGAGAAGCGTTAACCACTTCCAAGATCCAGGTTCCAATCCCGTGCTTGGAATCCTTTATTAACCAAGACGGGCAAGGGTCCAGAAGGCAAGTGGTAGGACGTACTCGTCCAAGCACCTTGTCCACATCATCGGGCCGCAATAACTGAAATTCATCCAATAATTCTGGACCAGACGGCAGCGTTGGTGTCTCCCTTAAAACCTCTGAATCAATAGTGGAATCCAGCTCGTGACGAATCTGAGCGATTTTCTCCCTAAAATGCTCGGCAAAGTCGTCACAGCGGGCCTTTGAGGGTGGAGTCAGCTCTTCCTTTGGCCCTGGGTGAACCAGGCCTTGCACCACTCGAAAGAGCTCCGCCGGACGGCATTGTGAGGAGGCAATGGAAGCGGAGAAGTGTCTCTTTTTCGCCGCCCTCACCGCCACAGCATAGGCCCGATAGTGGGCTCTTAAGTGTGTTCGGTCAGATTCATCACGTGATTTCCTCCACCTACGCTCTAGCCGTCTCCCAACCTGCTTCATTGCCCTCAATTCTGGAGTGTACCAAGGGGAAGAGCGGGCTCTGCCCGGTGGGAGAGGACGCTTAGGAGCGATCGTGTCTACAGCCCTGGTCATCTCCCCATTCCACAGTTCAACCAGAGCCTCGACAGGAGCACCCGTCTTGTCAGCCGGAAACTCCCCCAGAGCCTTCAGGAATCCTTCCGGATCCATCCGGCTCCGGGGGTGGACCCACACAATCGGGTCTGCACCCTTACAGAGGGAGATGTCGCTCTCGAGCACAAACCTCACTAGGAAGTGATCTGACCATGACAGGGGAGTCAAGCATAAATTCCTCACCCTCAGACCACCCTCTTCCTGCCCCGTCGAGAAAACCAGGTCCAGAGTGTGTCCACGTTCATGGGTCGGGCCGGTGACATGTTGAGACAGCCCCATGGCCGTCATGGAAGCCATGAAGTCCTGAGCCGCCCCGGTCAAACTAGCCTCGGCATGGATATTGAAGTCCCCCAGGACCAGCATCCTGGGGGTCCTCAACACCAGGTCCGAGACCGTTTCCGTCAGCTCAGGCAGGGAGACTGTTGGGCAGAAGGGTGCACGGTACACCAACAGAATCCCCAATCTGTCTCGGTCGCCCAACACCAAGTAGAGACACTCCAGCCCTGGTCTCGAAGGGACAGGAAGTCCCGTGAGAGTGATGGAGGCCCGGTAAACCAAAGCGACCCCCCCTCCCCTCCCCTCCGGCCGTGAACAGTGCTGGACCATATACCCGGGCGGGCACAATTGAGAGAGGGCAACATCCCCCCCCTCTCCCGCCCAGGTCTCCGTTATACAGGCCAGGTCGGCCCCCTCATCCACAATCAAGTCATGGATGAGGGCAGATTTGATTGGCCGACCTGGCATTAAACAACAGCACCGTCAGGCCCAAGGGGCAACTGACAAGACTCCCTGGCACCTTCTGGCTGGGAGCAAAACCAGAAGTAGGGACAGGTGTCAGCCATCTGTCCCTCCTTCTTCTATGCGGACACGTTAAGCCCCCACCGCTATTACGTCCATTGCCCATCACCACACCAATGGCGGCGCCAGTGCGCTCCCCAGGAAACTCAGGCGGCAACATGGCCAGGGACGACTCCATAAAAACAAGTTAAAACACTTTAAAATTATAAAACATTTAAAATTGGCCGTTCAACAGAAGGGACTGCCACAACAAAAGAGCAAGTCCCCTGGCCAGCCTAGCCCCCCCCGAACAGCCCCCCCAAACGGCGGCAAACCGCCCTTTGGCCGACGCCCTTTGGCCGCCGGCCCCGGCCGCTGCTGGTGCTTTGTAGCCGCCGGCCGCCCGACGCCCCACCCCGTCCGGGCACGCCTGCCACGTGTGCAGGGGCGTGGCAGGGCAGTCAGGTAGCGGCGGAGCCGGCGGCGCGGCGCAGTCTTCACGCGGTCTTCGGGCGCGTGCGCGGCGCGGTCTTTGGGCGCGTGCGCGGCGCGGTCTTTGGGCGCGGTGTGGTTCTCGGGCGCGGGCGCGGTCTCCTGCCAGGTGTTGTTCCTCCCGCCGGCGCTCCCCCCTGCGGCGCTTTATAGCCGCCGGCCACCCGACGCCCCACCCCGTCCGGGCACACCTGCCACGTGTGCAGGGGCGTGGCAGGGCAGTCAGGTAGCAGCGGAGCCGGCGGCGCGGCGCAGTCTTCACGCGGTCTTCGGGCGCGTGCGCGGCGCGGTCTTTGGGCGCGTGCGCGGCGCGGTCTTTGGGCGCGGTGTGGTTCTCGGGCGCGGGTTCCTGCCAGGTGTTGTTCCTCCCGCCGGCGCTCCCCCCTGCGGCGCTTTATAGCCGCCGGCCACCCGACGCCCCACCCCGTCCGGGCACACCTGCCACGTGTGCAGGGGCGTGGCAGGGCAGTCAGGTAGCGGCGGAGTCGGCGGCGCGGCGCAGTCTTCGCGCGGTCTTCGGGCGCGTGCGCGGCGCGGTCTTCGGGCGCGTGCGCGGCGCGGTCTTCGGGCGCGTGCGCGGCGCGGTCTTTGGGCGCGGTGCGGTTCTCGGGCGCGGGCGCGGTCTCCTGCCAGGTGTTGTTCCTCCTGCCGGCGCTCCCCCCTGCAGCACTTTGTAGCCGCCGGCCACCCGACGCCCCACCCCGTCCGGGCACACCTGCCACGTGTGCAGGGGCGTGGCAGGGCAGTCAGGTAGCGGCGGAGCCGGCGGCGCGGCGCAGTCTTCACGCGGTCTTCGGGCGCGTGCGCGGCGCGGTCTTCGGGCGCGTGCGCGGCGCGGTCTTTGGGCGCGGTGTGGTTCTCGGGCGCGGGCGCGGTCTCCTGCCAGGTGTTGTTCCTCCTGCCGGCGCTCCCCCCTGCAGCACTTTGTAGCCGCCGGCCACCCGACGCTCCACCCCGTCCGGGCACACCTGCCACGTGTGCAGGGGCGTGGCAGGGCAGTCAGGTAGCGGCGGAGCCGGCGGCGCGGCGCAGTCTTCACGCGGTCTTCGGGCGCGTGCGCGGCGCGGTCTTTGGGCGTGTGCGCGGCGCGGTCTTTGGGCGCGGTGTGGTTCTCGGGCGCGGGCGCGGTCTCCTGCCAGGTGTTGTTCCTCCCCAAGGTAGGTTGCTTGCTTGTCTGCGATTTTAAACCGCTGCTCCAAACTGAATTCCATATTGCAGCCTTGACTAAGTATAAACTCTGGACTCTTTGTCTCCCTGCTGCTGATATATCCATCCTGTCCTGTGGGTCTTTTGATCTGGGGCTGGTCCACCCAAAGCACCTCGCTTTAGGGCCAAAGATATCCAAGAAGAAGCAAGATCACTTGGGTTAGGGATAGCAGCCCATCTACTGGAAGCAGGCACATGGATGGACTTTGGATGCACATTTTGAATAAGCAAACAAACATGGCTTGAACACAGGTCCATTGAGATCATGGAGCTGCCTTATGCTGAGTTCATTTGTTCATTCATTCAAAGCTTTTTTAGACCATCCCTTACTGTAGTCTCGGGACAGTTTAACAATAAGACAAAATAAAATAAAGCACAGCATCCTAATGAAATTCTTAACCAGTCAACAATAACATCCATATTAAAAACAATCAAACCTTAAAACATTGGAAAAATGACATGCTGTTAGCCTGGTGCGGAAAAGAATAAAGTGACGCTGCCACGCCAACCTCTCTGGGAAGCAAATTCTGCAATTGGGGCGCCACCACAGAGAAGGCCCTTTTTGGGTAGTCACCCTCCTAATCTCCTTCAAGGAGGGCTCCTGGAGAAAGGCCTCTGCCCCAGATCTTATGGGGTGGGCGGGCATATATGGAAGGAGATGCTCCTTCAGGCAACCAGGCCTTAAGCCGTTGCTTGGGCACCTAAGCAGCCCGAGTCCCAGGTGACCAGGCGATGTTACCTAACTGTGGTATTCATCTTATACACACCCCTGTACCTTCCAGAGGCAGCAAAAAAGCTTTCGGCTACGGCCGGTGATGGGGAGAGAAGGGGGTAGATGCAGGCAATCTGGCTGTCCCTCTAACCTTCTCTGAGGAGCAGAGAGAGCAGCTCACAGAGCCTGGAACAAGGCAAGAAGTCCATGGGAATCAGAGTAAAGCCCTGGCCCCAGGTGCCCCCTGCCCCACCCCTCTGTGGCTCAGAGGACCAGGATGGTCCTTGCATGCTTGTTGAGATGGGCACTTGGTCTGTGGCGTCCAAGTTCCCAGGTCAGGAGAGCTGAACTAGTTCTGTCCTTCACCCTGCTGGTTCCAAGCGTGCGAGAAGAATGTGGGCTTTGCGCATTATAGTGTGGCTTAGTTGCAGTGTTTTGTGCTGCTTCTCAGCCAGCAAAAGGGTGCAGGAGCAGTTGGCACTCAGCCAGGAAAATGAAACTGCCGTTGCCTGCAGCATTCCAGCCTGGAAAGCCTGAATTCCACACGCTCTCCCAGGCAGACTCCAAGGGCAACCTTCCCACAATGCCTGGCCCTACAGAAGGGCCACTGACAGCCAGGGATTGGGGCCAGGCTAGCTGTCTGGAGATTGGCAATCCCTCCCGTGCATATGATATGGTTCTTCACAGAACTTGCCCCGGGAAGAGCAGAGAGTGAGTAGCAGGAATATGGGCTTCGGGGTTAGGAGACGTGGCAGAGGCAGGTAAGGAAGAGGGTGAGATACCTGGTCATCACAGGAGGGATGGGCAGGTAGGTGGGTGGCACGTGAGAGCAGGTCCACTTGGTGGAACCAAGTGCACAATTCCCTCCTCCTCCTCTGCAACCTGAAGTGGGGGATTCACTCTCCTTCACGAGAGGGCCAGCCTGGAAGAAGACATGGCACACAAGGGAAAGGCAATGGGGAGGGAAAAGGAACATCGGAACATAGAAGATAGAAACAGAGCAAGTCAGAAGGGGTCTCCCGGGCCATCTAGTCTGACCCCCGGCTCCAGCCGGCTCTGCTCACAACAAGCCCACCACACAAATAGTAGATTTCAGAAGGGCGGATGGAACGGCCCTACTTGGCCTCTGATCTCTTGGGTGGGGGCGGAGGGCGCCGGACTGCAGCTTTGGGGCCAGAACTGCATTCAATGAGAGGGTCCCTCCTCTGCCTGCAGAAGAAACCAGGCTCCTTCCCACACATCTCCAGGTAGAGCCAAGACAGATGCCTACCTGAAATCTGGAGAGCCACCTCTGTTCAGTGGCATCAGTTCTGAGCACGGTAGACTGTGCACCCTAAGGATCCAGAAGGCTATAATTTATAGAGCCAGCTCAAAAGACCAACACCGTTATTGGCTGCGTAAGAGAAGTCTCGCTTCCAGGTCACAGGAAGCTCAAGGAACGCCTTGAGCCCAGGCTACCTGGTTCCACAGCTGCCCCGAGGAGGGCCGGGTGAGGGTCCTGGAGACCACACCCCATGAGAGGAGGCTGAGCATGTACAGCCCGGAGTCGGCCGAGGCACCGTGGAAGCCATCTCCAAAAGGGTTGCCCTGATCTGCACGACAGAGCACATCTATCGTCCGTGCCTCCAGAGGACGAGACCCAAAGCCACCAGAAGCCAAACTAGGCTATCGGAAGAAGCGCCTTTCTTCCTGATCGCTGTAGTCAGCCTCTGAGCCCCCCCTCCCCCCGTGTTCCTCCCCCAAGCGAAGTGAAGGAGAGCTGGCTAGGAGGCGGGCATCCTCTTGAATTGCTCCCCTGTCGCAGAATTTGATTCCGCAAGAAATTAGGCTGACGAAGGCGCTGTACTCTTTTAGATGCCAGCTGGAGATTGTTTGCTCCATGCTTATTTTGAAGGGTGAATCTGCTGGGCTTTGATTTTAAATTCAGTTGTAGCTACCATTTAACTTGCAATCTGTGGTTTTAATTTGGTTGCGAATTATTGGCCTATCACTTGGTAAACCCCCCTCTAGTTTCTTAAGTTCTTAGTCTAGTGTTGATTTATTTATCATTTAGTTATTTATTATATATATAATTTATTTTATCAATATTATTGTTATTTTAATTACTATTAATTGTATCGATATTATTGCTTTGATTGTAATGTTGTTTTTATTGTGCTTGATTCTGTGCATGCTGCCCAAAGAGCCTCTGGCTAATCAGTAGCATATAAACCAAATAAATAAATAATAAAATAATAAATAAAAAGGCTTTAGACTCGAGATTAGAAAGAACTTTCCCCACCATCTGAGCTGATTGACAGCAGAGCAGACAAGGAGTCTCAGCAAGGGTGGACTTTCTGCTGAGGGTCTTGGGCAGAGAGTGGCTGCTCCCTTCCCCAGGATGCTTCCTCTATCAGCATCTTGCACAGGCCTGGGGCTTGACCGGATGCCCTTGGGGTGCCCTCTAAGGGAGGCAGGAGAAGTGATCTATAGCAATCCGAAGAAGAGCTGGTCAAGCACTATGAGACCCTCTCCCCACCCCCCACCCCCACATCCAGTATGGAGAATGCCATTTCTCTCTCTTTCCTTCTGCAGCCTGGCCCAGCCTGTCTGCAACCCACTGCTCTTTTCTTGCCCCATAATTACATTTCTTTCCACAGCATCTTCAGACACCAAGGAGGAGGGCTTGGAAGCCCAGATCAACAGGTTAGCAGAGTTGATTGGAAGGCTGGAAAACAAGGTAGGTGGGAGGACTTTAATAATAAGAACTCCTGTCTTGAAAGCATCGTCTCGCTAATGACAATAGCACAGCTTTCCCCAAGCTGGTGTTGCTTCCACGTGTACAACCCCCAGCATTTTGCCTGGGGATACTGAAAGTTGCAATCTGAGAGCACCAGGTGGAGGAAATGGCAGTCGCGTGATTTCAGAGTGCTTGTTTTTGGCAGCGGCTTGGACACGAAGGGGATTGTTCCTTAATGCCCTGCATAAAATAGAGAACACCAAATCTGCCATTCACCCTCCTTTGCACAGGACAGGCCTCTGTTCAAAGGGCTGTCCAGTCCAAGGCCAGTTTAAAGACAAAGCACCCTCAGAATGAAGCATTGCCTGTACACATTTAGCACCTGGGCAGATGAAGTCACAGTCCTCCGGAGTGTCTGCTAGCACACTGACCCGGTTCAGGCAACACCCCCCCCCGAACCTTGTTCTTTATCACAGGAGGGGTGCCATGTTGCGTAGCCAAAGGGTTGGCTGCACTAAAAGAGGCTCTTTTTCCAAACATCCACCCTGCAGGACCAATGAGCTGTTCCAGGGTTGCTGCCACCCCTGGTGGGTTGTCGTATCGTCTGAACCCAGATGAGAATTTGGCATTCTGTGGCTTGCCATGGTTTTGCCCATCGTCTCACCACCTGCTCCTGGCGTGCCTCTGGTGGGCCTGCAGCCTCTATATTTCTCTCCTTGTTTATTATATTTATGTCCCACCTTCCTCCCCTGGCAGAACTCAAAGTAGAGATGTGTGTTTCCCAAGTGTCTCCCCTCCAAGTTCAGGCCAGCTCTGAACCTGCTTAGCTTCAACATGGCGGATGCCTTCTGGGTTCTTCTAATAAAGAACACGGGGCTTTAAAATTATCTACATAAGCTTAAGGAGCTTGTTCTTACATTTTTTCAGACTGGATTGGTTCTTAGAATGTGGGCTTCCGGAATGACAGTATTTGTTCCTAGACATAGTTGGCCACATTGAATGTTTTAACACACACACCATAAAAATGAATGGGAACCTATGAAATGGCAGGCACTGTACCTTGCATACAGGCTAAGTTTTGTGAAGGACAGGGGAGTTCACAGAATGGAAATGGAAGCCAACGGGGCCTAGAGGAGATCTCTCTGTGATGGTGCATCCCATGACAGAAGCGTTGCCCTTGCATAAAGAGGAGCGACAGAGGAAGTCCTAAAGCAAGATGGAGCAACATCTAGAAACCTCGAAAATAGCATTGGGCAAAACGAGCACCACTGGCTGCAGGAGACAATCAAGAGCACAGGCTGCCTGAAGGGGCTTGCATGGTCTCATGCAGAAGATCAGGGGACGGGGCGCACTGATGCAGTGCAGAAGTGCCACTGAAATTCTCCCAGCCATCTTTCTCCCTGGCACTGGCGACCCACTGACACGCCGTCCTCAAAATGTGGATCAAATCCATAGCTAGCAATTAGGGCTCTGCTTTTTACTGCATCAAGTGTTGGGACCATTGGGGGGGGGGCTTCAACCCCTCCCCTGCTGCAGTCCCAATCCAGATGTGGGTGTGGGACAGGCCAACCCGTCACACTGCCTGGGGTGAAAATGTGCCCCCAACTGGGCAATAGAAATGGCGGCCCCAGAGATCCCAATCCAGAAGGGACCACAGCAGCCGGGCCAAGCGCTCCCTTCCTGATCCCATGCTAGGGCCCCAACACAGGTCAGATGCGCTGCACTTTCTCTAGAATGAAAAAGGAAACGACTCAGTGGTTAACTACATCATTAAAGTAACGTGAGCTTAGAATGGCTTTAGTATTTCACATCATGCAGTTCAATTCGAAACCTAAAGTTGGCCTCTCGAGCGCAGAAAACATGCTCAAAACGTATAAAGGGGGTGGCAGCACAAACAAGAAGTGGGGAGGGCGCCCAAGACGCTGATTTACTAATAAATCTTCCCATGTTTTGGGAATCCCTTCCCAATGCAAGGGAACCTTCGGCACTATGAATCATTTCATTCTATTCTTCCGTTTTCTTTTTTATTTTCAAATTTTGCACAGAGGCTTGGAAATGTTCCTACTGGTCCTTGCTATCCTTTGCCCATATTGCTGTGCCTGTGGATATTGATAAAACGTGGCCAAGCAAAGGAAAAATGTACACGTGGATGTACGTAAGCTTGCATTAATATTATCACAGGTAGGAAAGCAGCAAGAGCAGAACTGAACTCCAGTGAGACACCAAAGAAAGAATCTTGAACCATCGATACAATCATTTTCAGATTCCCCTTTTTGCAGAGTGTTGCCAACCTTCTTCTGACAAGCTTCTCACCTTTTACAACGTGTAAGCCAAGAAGGCCCATTGCAGTCTTCTCTGCACTCGGAACAGGCAGAGCCAGTGAGTTTTGATGTGCAGTTGGGTACATGGTTAATTTCAGTTCAGTGTTGATAAGAATTCTGCTGAAATTCCCAACGGGCTGCATATTTTGGAGAACTTGAGTTTTTAAGCATGTGAATGCAAGAGAAAATGAGACTAACAGATTCTTCCATCCCTAGCAAGGTAGGACCTGGTGGGGAAGGGATCCAAAGAAATCTCAGCAGTTTGGACACCTCCAATAACAATAAATATGTGGAATTTGTTACGATCACCACTGGAACGGCAGTACCTGCCAGCATAAATATGACAGATGCTCTTTGGGATGCCTTCTGCAGCAAAGAAGCAGTGAATCCACTCTCTCAGGTCCATTCATAAATCAGGTGCAATGCACACATTTGACTTACTATGATGTGTGGTTCAGTCCGTTACACGGCAGCCCAGAAGCAGGTCCAGCTGAGTCCAATGGGGCTCAAGTGTAGACCAGATTGCAGTCTTCGTCTTCTACCTTAGACAATGTCAGAGTGTCATTTTTCGGTATTAGAAAATTCAAATGAACTGATTAAGAACTGAGCTTGATGAAATGAGATGAAACTTGGTTTCCTAGCTGGGGGTTGGACCTGATGGCCTTCTAGGCCCCTTCCAACTCTACTCTTCTGTGATTCTGTGAAAGAAGCTTGCCCGTTTGCCAAGGTGATCAATTCCACCCCATTCTGAAACTTCATAATCTCTGTACAGGGTCCCTGCTTCTCCCTTCCCTTTATGAGCATTCAAAGCAGGGTAACAAAACTTGGATTTATTGTATGTACAAGAGATGTGTTTTGCCTCTAAGGTACTTTAAAACTGTGGCTTTATTGCCTAGTTTCAGTCATCTCCCACCCACAGCCCACAATATAGGGCTTCCTCTCCCCCTTAGGGCTCGTTTCATTGGTTACTGAAATAAGCACTTTAAAACTATCATTGTTGCCACTTTTATGACGACTAATGCATCTCCAAAATGCTGCCTAGTTTTGCTGGTATAAAGAAGAAAAGGGTTTTCTTGTTCTGCATGCTGATCGCCTGAAGCCGGGGCAGGGGAACTCTGGCCCTTGAGTCACTGTCAACTCCTATCAGCCCCAGCAGGCTTGGCCAAAGTGCGGGGAAGGTGGGGACGGTCCCCCAACTTAGTCCGGAGGGCAGCAGGCCAGCCCTGCTTAAGACACGCAACTGGCCGAGTTGGGACCACCAAGGGCTTGCAGAAGGGGCATGGGAAGAATCCCTTCTTGTCCCTGACCTGTGGCCGGAGAGAGTAAGAGGGCTCTCTGCGTTCCTCTCCCGCTGCAGCTGAGAGGGAGAGCAGCACGCGGTCACAGGGCAGTGCCCTTCCTTCCTCCCTCCAGTTAACGAGGATGTTCTGCGGGGAAGCAGCAGCTGCGCACTCGTCCTTTGCTCTTGCGGAAGGCGGGAGGTGGGCAAACCTGGGCTGAGCGTGCCCACCGAGCCCCTCCCTTGGCGTGCCTCTCGCAGCCCCGATGGGCACCCCCTTCCGTGCCTTGGGTTGACTCTGTGCATGCCCAGCAGCCTCTACGAAGACCAGAAACCACCCACAAGAGGGTTGCGCTGACACCATTGTATAGTCTAGCGCCACCAGTTTGGAATGCAAAAATCCAGGGAGGAGAACCATGTGGTGGGCTTCGCATCAGAGCTTTGTGACTCATCGTGAAACCTATGGAGCTCTTCCCAGAGGGAAGTCCGTGTCTCCTGCAAGAGTATAGAGTTGTATTCCGCTTCCCTGTTTTCTATATCAAATAGAGCTCAAACTCTGGTTGCAGGCGTTGTCTTAAATACAGGCATTCGCAAGAGAGAAACCATCCACTACCAACACCCCGCACAATTAGGTTTTGAATCAGGACAGGCACCAGCCAGCGGCCATATCTTCATCCCTGCATCCCTTCAACATGTCAGACACATCCAGTTGTTCAAAAAGATTTCAACCCGCTGAAGTACAACCTGGAGCTCTGAGAATTAGGAGTGCCAACTATCGTGCGAAGAAGTGTGTCCCCACTTACACGCTTGCTGCATCGAAGAGACGGAACCATGGATCCAGGCTGCATGATATTTTTCTGCATTATCTGACTTCATCAGTGCTAATCGCAAACAGCAAACTTGAAAGCCTCGTTATCGCCTCAGTGGCTTGCCATTTCTGGGACAAAGAGGCCCCATCAGCAAGCCCTGATAGGCCTCATTGCCACCACCTACTGGCTTCTAGGAAAAACCCCCTTGATTCTTAAGAGAGCGGCTAAATTACAGGCCTGTCAACAACACCAAGCAGCAGATAATGTGAAATGGCACAGGCCACGAACTTGCAAAAAAACTCCATGGAGTGCCAGCAGGTATTCCCCTGGTAACTAACAAGCAAAGATTTGCCCCTGTTCCATAGGCAGTCCCAGAGAACATGGTGTCTAGTTTCTTGCACTCCACAGGTAGCAAAGAGGTGCGCATCTACTTGTCCAAGAGTGAAAGGCAATTGCAATCAGCTGCAGCTTTACGGGGCCTTCAGGCATGTGACTTGGTGGCTGCAGCAACACCTTCTCTAGCAGTGGCACTGGATGGAGCTGAGATGGCCCCAGCATCTGCTTCCTCTGCCCGGTGCATCATGATGCTACGAGCGAGGCTCCAGGGCCCCTCTGCCAGGCTCCCAGAGAAGGCAAATCCCCAAGAGCCGCCTGGACTATCCGTCGGGGTCTGCTGGAGCCAGGATTCTGCTCCCACAGAATGGAAACCTGCCAAAGGAGGTGGGAGCAAGTATTTACTGGGAGCAAATCATGTGGTCCTAACCCTAGCCTCAGCCTTTAGAGCAACCCAGTACTGTGCATCCTGCAAATTCCAGTTTAACCGTGTGCTTTGTGGAATCCCCCATCCTGCTCCCCACCTTGACTTTCTTTTTCCTAAGCTAAGATGCCCCAAAGAAAGCAATTTTTCCTTCTTAGGAGAGTTGCTTCAGCCCATTAAGAATCCTGCAATAGCCTCACTTCTCTCCATTTTTGCTTTCCATGGAGCCTCTACCTAATTAATAATTCATTTTATTATGTTCTATTGTATTTCAATGTATTTTATTGTGTTGTAAGCCACCCCGAGGCTTCGGCAAGGGGCGGCATGGAAATGTAATAATAATAATAATAATAATTATTATTATTATTATTATTCAGCCCATTTCTAAGAATGCAGACAAGTTTTTTTTAGTAACAGCTTGATGATATTTTTTCAAAAACAGGGTTTTTGTGTCTTTCTTCTTCCAAGCAACCTGTGGGAGGGTTTCTGGGATGACTTGAAGACATCTCAGTTAGTGCTTAATTTGAATGCCTTAAGTCCTACATGCAACTCCTTGGTATGCCATTCAGTAACACACACCCTACTTTTTATTTTTTGCTTTGTTCGCCAACCTGGCCAATTTGAGATCCTGAAAGCAGGCACGGTACTGTGTGACCTTTATTACAGCAAATTGGATTGTGGAACATTTATTTGGAACTAATCACTTTGGTTCCACTTTTCTGTATCCCCTCCAGCTCTACAATATCAAGAATGAAATTCACTAGGGACAAATGCCAAGTCCTCCCCTTAGGAACAAGAAACCAAATGCACCACTTCAAGATGGGAAACACTTGGCTCAACAACTTTGCAAATGAGAAGGATCTTGAGGTCTTTGTAGAACACCAGCTAAATACAAGCCGGCAATGTGATGCAGCTGCAAAAAGGGCAAATGCTATTTTGGGCTGCATTAATAGAAGCATTGCTTCCAATCACGTTCCACTATAATCAGCACTAGTCAGACCTGATCTGGAGTACCACGTCCAGTTCTGGGCATCTAAGTTTTAAAGGGGTGCGGAAAAGCTAGGAAGGGTCCAGAGGAGGGCAACAAGGATGATTCAGGGACTGGAGGCAAAGCCTTGTTAGGAAAGATTGAGAGAACTGGGCATGTTCAGCCTCAGGAAGAGGAGCCTGAGGGGGATCTGACATCCCCCTATAAGCACCTCACAGGCTGTCACAAAGAGGAAGGACAAGATCCCTTCTCATCCACTCCAGAGTGCAGGACACGGGATAATGGACTGAAGTTACAAGAAACCAGATTTAGACTGGGCACCAGGAAGAGTTTCTCACAGTCATAGCCTTACGACAGTGGAACCTGCTACCGGGGGAGGTGGGGGGCTCTCCTTCGCTGGAGACATTCAAAAAAGACCCCGGACCGCCATCTGCACGGGAGGGTGACACTGGGCACCTGCCACAGTGGCCTTCTGGCCCCTTCCAGCTCTTCTATTCTGATCCTATGACTTCCTCTAGCAACACACTAAGGTGCCCCGTGCCCCGCCAGGTCCTACGCAGAGAATCAGGAGGCCCCGTTTCATGGGGCACTCTGGCGGGTCAGGGTCCCCAGAGTCAGCCCTCCTTGGGCAGAGCCCCCGCCCCCACAGGACGGCCTTTCTCTTGCAGAAGGGCAGAAATTTGGTATAACCCTCTTATGTCAGCCCAGTGGTTATGCAAGCTTTTTTTCTTGAAAGAGACATATATTGAAATCACACTTTTCCCTTTTTTGTGTTGTCATAACAACTGGAGGGGGCACCTTTATAAAAAAAATAATGATCACCCCGGTGATATTTTTAGCAACTGGTTGTTAAAGTGACATAATATGCTTTTCTTTTTTTAACAGTGGGTTTTTGAGTGTATGTGCATTTCTTGGAGTTATTTTGGGAGCCAAACCCACATCTTGCAAAACCTTTGCACTTGTTCACAGCAAGCTGAGCAGATGCCCCACCTCAGTGTTTACAGGGTAGAATTAGAAGGACTTTAAAATGTGAGCAATCTCAAGCAATTTGATCTAGTTATATATTTTTAAGTAATTATCTGAGTGAATTCAGAGATTAAAACACTCTTTTCAAAGCTGATGCGCTCCAGTTCTGTTCCCAACATCTGTGAGTATCCCGACTAACCAAAAATTACTGTTTCTGTGTCCCGATGAACCTGGCTGTACTACACCACTAGAATCAAAAAATTGTAGGGTTGGAAGAAGTCAGTGAAACCATCAGGTCTAGCCCCTCGCTCAGTGCAGGACTCCAAGCTCAAGCATCCCTAACAGATAGTTATCCAGCTGCTTCTTGAATGCCTCCAGTGTGGGAGAGCCCACAACCTACCTGGGTAACTGGTTCCATTGTCATACTGCTGTAACAGGGAGTTTTTCCTGATGTTAAGGAGATCTCCATCCTTGTAACATTTGGTGTCCTTCAGTCTGGGATGACAGAGAAGAGATCCTGGCCTTCCCCGGGGGTACCCACTTCTTACTTCTCCCCACTGATGATCGCTCTGAGTCCGATTCTGAAGCCAACAGTGGATCCACCCGACCATTGTTCCATCCAGCCCATGTTTAGCAAGTTTGCTAATCAGGATGTCCTGGGGCACTTAGCCAAGAGCTTTGGTGAGGTCAAGACAGATTATGACCACAGCATTCCAGAGGCCATCAGGGAGGTTCCCCAATCCTAGAGAGAGAGAGAGAGAGCGAGAGAGAGGGAGGGAGAAGGGGAGAGAGCAGATTATTCTGGCAGGATTTGTTCTTGATGAATCCATGTTGGCTTCAAGTCATCCCTGCATTGCTTTCAAGGTGTTTGCAGACTGACTGCTTCATTATCTGCTTCAGAATTTTCCCAGGGACTGATCAGTGCACATTCATTTATTGCATTTATTGCTATCCTGTCTCTTATTTTAATTCTCCCCCTCCTCTCCATCTTACCCTCACAACAACAACCCCGTGAGGTAGGCCGGGCACAGAGTCGGTGACTGGCCCGAGGACTCCTAGTGAACTGCGTGGCAGAATGGGGACCTGAACCCAGACCTCCTGAGTCCCAGTCCTGCACCCTGAAGCATCACAGCATGCCAGCGTCGTTCCCAGGATCCTCCTTTCCCCCCTTTCAAAGATGGGGACAGCCTTAGCCCTTCCCCTGCCACCTGGCACTTCACCTGCCCTCCATGATTTTTCACAGGTAATAGCGAGTATTCCGGAGACCTCCTTCCAGCGGCTTCTTTATGACTCTGGGAAGGAGTTCATCAGGCCCTGGAGCACTGAACTCGCTCAGAGTGATGAGGTGCTTCTTGACCGTTCGTCAGACAATCTCACGCTGCAGCCCTGCCACTCCAGCCTCAACTTTCTTCTTTTCCAGGGAGGTCACAGACCCTCTTTTAGGAAAGACTGCGCCAAAGTTGGAACTGAGTATTCTGCCTTCTCTTTCTCATCATTTTGCCATCCTCTCTGAGTAGTTGAACCAGAATTCCTCTGTCTTTTATCACACGCAGCTATGAAAAAAGTGTTTCGGTTGTTTTTAGCATTCACTGAGGACCTCAGATGGTTCGCCTTCCGGATGCCGTTGCAGCAACTCCGCTCTGCCTACTTTCCTTTGTAGCCTGGCCTTCCATTCCCCTTCTTAGCGGCGCCTTTTTTGTTTTCAGGTCATCTTCAAGTTTTTTGTGAAGTTTCTTTTCTTGCCTTCTACCTTTTTTGCTCGTTGGAATTCCTTTCAATTGACCCTTTAGGATTTCCTTTTTAAAAATAAAATTCCCTCTCATCCTGGGCTCCTTTTCTCATTACAGTTGCTTACTGTAGAACCTTACTAATCAGTGTTTATTAAAGCTCGGTTTTCTAAAATTCGGGGCACATGCTTGGCTGCATTTAGCTTTTGCTTCCCTTAGAATCAAGAAGCCAAGAATGACATGCTTCCCCCCAACAACACTCCCATAACTTCCAACAGATCCACCAGGGCATCCCCAATTATAATCAACTTGAAGTTTGCACAGGAAGTTGTACACATTATGAGCAGCGGATTGCACAGAATCATGCATGCACAGGATCCACTTAGTTGGATTCTTCTCTTCTGCACAGTTCAAAACTGAGTTCCTGCCAGTGCAATGTCATTTGCACTAATACAGTAGCACAACTGGATACTTTCCGCAGATTGCAATAGATCTCATCTGAACATGTCCAGGGCTGGGACCAAGCCTGAGTGTTCTGAGCTTATTCAGAAGAAGAGAGTCCGTTCTGCATGTACAGACCGTGCATATTGCATTTCTGTAGGAACCAGTTGGTGACCAGCTGCTGGATCAGGGCGATAGCTGCTTTGTCTCGGCTGGCAATCCGATGCCCTGCAGCTCTTTCACACCAAGCATCTTCTTTGTGCTCTGATTGCGGCTAGCAGTGAATTGAATCGCACAAAGGATTGTATGATTCTGTGACTGCAAATCAGCCAAAAGGCAGAGCACTCATATCACCCAGCATCAGTGGAAGCTTGACCAACACGTGCAGCAGAATCAAGTGACTGTCCGGCGGGGCTGGATACCATTCCAGGCTGCAGCCAAGGAATGGAGAAGAAATAGTGCGTTGCCTTGGATGTATCGTCTCACGACTGGGTCGCCCCAGTGAAATGCTTCCTGGCTGCAGCATTTTAATGAATTCTGGACCCTTTGCATGTGAAATATTCTTTGCTCGTAAACTCCTCTGCAGCACAACACCAAGTGGAATGCTTTGCAACATCCTCCACTCCTTTCTTGCTTTTGTTCTTAACTTAAAAAATCTTTTTCTCCACCACAGACTCTTTGGTTTGATCTGCACCAGCGGTTGTCGGACAGCGAGAACACAGCCTGTGCGGTGAGTACTCACAAAACTCTTCTCTGACTCCTGCCAGGAGAAAATACTGTAGCGTATGCAAATTAAGAGATTGGGGAGGGGCATCCCACCGTGTTCATCTCCACCCCCTTCTGCTGCAAATGTGCGAGTTCAGGGGAGCAACTTTCTCCAGCAGTGCCCTGGATCGGGCACCACACAGGGGCCCCGTGACCCGCACGAAGCACTGTTTCAGCCATCCAGTCAACATGCCATTTCCTGAAGTCCCTCAGAAAGGAAGTGAGTCAGAACTTCCTTAGGAACCGGAAGGGAGCAGCCCTCAAAATGGGAGTATATGAGCCCATGGATGAGGCTGTGGCTAGAACACCCGCTTTGCATGAAGGAGTTCCCCGATTCAACCTGCAGAACCTCCCGGGGTGCCTAGGAAGGACTCCTGCTTGAAATCTGGAAACCCATTGTTGCCAGTACTGGCCAAGAAGGACCAGTGGCTTGATGCCATGACTGGGTTCAGACCACACAACGACCCATACCCAGTGGTTGGATGTGGGCTGTTGCCGAAAGGTGGGTTCACCTCAAACGACGGATGACAGGAAGCAATGGGTTGTTATCGTGCTGAAACGGGGGGTTGTTCACTATGGTTTGTTATCTCGGCTGAGTTCTTCAGGCACCGTGATATCCCATATTTCAACAACTGCTTACAGTTCCGTGACAACCCTCACTCAACCCATATGTTGAATGTGGGCTATCGCATGGCCTGAACCCTGTCAGTTTCCCCAGGGGTTCAGCCCCCAGGGTCAGGCACAACAGTTTGCATGTCTATCGAACAGGGTCAATTCTTTTAAAAAACAGGGTGTGTTGCTGAAATAGATGATGACCATTTCCTCGTTTGAAGGAACGCAGGACAATGCACAAGGGGTCCAGGGCTCCCCATCCCTCTGGGCTAAACTAGGCCTGCCAGCTGAATACTTACTGAGCAGCTGATGATCAGTGTGTGTGTGTGGGGGGGGGGGTTGAAGTAAGCCTATAGGGCCAAATCAAGACTGGGCCCCTGCACCACATGTCCTCTGCCATGCAGCTTCGCCCTTCCCTGACCCCTTTTTAGTCAATGAAAAGAATTCTAGGGTACAATCTAATGTATGTGTATAGCAAGAGAAAATGCCCTCCACTTCCCAGGATTCCTTGAGAGTTGAAGGACATTTTCCTGCCTGCATGTGCACAGGATTGTACTCTTAACCAGTTAACCCGAGTGACTGGCTCAGTGCAGATCTTTGTGAGAAAGATGCATTTGGAGCACACTGGAACCATTTGCGGAAACCTCTCCGGCCAGAGCGTGGCAGAAGCCGGGACCTTGACGCCCCGTATGGATCAATTCTGTGCCACTCGCCAAACCAGGCTCCAGCAGGCAATGCGGTCATTGCTGCAAAATTATGTGCTCAGAACGAGGGAAATATGCAGGTGCTCTGAAGAATACAGTGAGGCCATTCTGGCTTTTGGAGACGTCCCCACGCCTGACTCTACAGAGCAGAGCAAGTCAGATGAGAACGATGCCCGCCTCACCTGGCTAAGTCCTGACTGCACCCAGGGCACACTCAAACTCAGCCGTGGCCTCCGGTCATCGTGGCAGGTCTCAGGTGTGCTTGCAAATACTGGCCGGCTTCTGCCACCACCCTGGAGCTGCTGCCTGAAGGATGTGCCGACATAGCTAGCGAAGATCAGAGTTGTGAGTGGACTCCAGAGTTGTTGACAAGGAAGCAGATGCTTTTAGGATAGTCGAAGGAACAGCCATTTAAGCAAGCTTGTCCCTGCATGTTTGACCTGTAGAAAAAAGTGAAGTACAAAAGATTTTTATCTTCTCGCCCATTTAGAACAAAACCTTCAAAGCCTGGATGCCAGAAGAATGACAGAACGATGCTGCATATTGCCATGATTTAAGCATAGCCAGGGTTGGCCTGCCACTAAGCAGAGTGAGACAATGACCCTGGCGGTAAATGCTGGAAGGGGGCAGCAGGATCTTGACTGGGTTGGGATGACCGGGCAACCCAAGGCGGAGTATGGGTCGAGCCTGGGCTGTTGCAGAACAAGGGGTTGCGGTTGAAACACAGGCTGTCATGTGCTGTGGAACCAACCAAAATAACAAACTATGGTGAACAACTCAGCCACAACCCGCAGGTCTTCTTCCTGGTTTGTTCATGGTTAAGAAGGCCAACAGTTCAACCCATGTTTCAACATTAGCCTGCACTTGACCCTCGAGTGAGGGTTACTGTGCTGTCTGAACCCAGTCATCATGGGCCATGCCCCTGCCTTGCACCCCTAAGCGATTCTGCTGTCTTATTGCCGTGGCAGCTGCCCCATTGCAAAAGAATCAGCTGCCCACCCAGCCAACCCAAGGCACAAAATATCTTCATGCAGAAGAATAATGCTCTGTAATTTTGGCCACACTTCTCCCTGGCTGGACTGTTCAGGATGTTCTTAACTGCTTAGGCATAGCAGTTGTGGAAGGCAGGAAGGAAAAAAATGCCCTTCCTTCTTCGCCCCCTCTCTCCCTCTCCAAACAAATTCCTCTGGGCTCCCTTTTTTCATCCCACAGGAACAAAGGTGTCATATTAGGAACAGCTGTGCTTCTGAGCAGGATGCATTGTGCTCCCTTCCAGATGCGATCCAGGTTAACTGGAGAGGCTGCTCTCCTCATTCAATCCAGCCGCTAGTGATTAAGAAGGAGGTGGACTGTGGAAACAGAGACTTAAAATAACTCACCTTCACCCAACCACGGTGCTTTCGTTCCCTCTCCATGGTGTCTGGTCAAGAGTGGAAAAGGAGATTTTAATATGCACCAGTCCCCCGGGCAGCAGAGACGAAAACAAAACTCTCCGCAAGGAGACGGGTGCTTGGAAGGAGGCCTTGCCATGGGCTGCCTTGCATCGCCCTTTGGTTGTGGGAAGGAGGCACATCAAGCCTCTTTCACACTTGCACACCAGAGCGTTGCCCATACCACAAAGCCGGGCTCAGTGCTTAGGAGGGGCTGAGGCAGCTTGGTTCAGTAGTTAGGGCAGCCTTCCCCAAGCTGGTGCCTTCTAGATGTGATGGGCTGCAATGCCATCATTCCCAGCCGGCCTGATCCTGAACGATTAGGGCTCAAGTCCTTTTTCTGCCCTGAAGCGTGTCTTGGGTGCGTCTTCCTCACTCAGCCTAAACAACCTCGAGGCCAAAGGGGGCTTCTTACCTGTGTGTACAGGATTGTGCCCTTCATGAGCTGCTTCCGCTTTGTCTCTGTGTTCCATTTGCATCTATTTACATCACCGAAATGTGAGTGAGCTTTTTTAAAAGGCTGCAGCCCCGTTTAGATTTTCCTTGTTTTCATTTCTGTTTTACCATAAGCACATCACCTTGGAAAATAGGTGCAGGGCCAGCAGGTCAAGTCCAGCCCTTCTGTCATTCCGGTTGGGTTCCCCAGGTGGCCACCCCCCCCCTTCTCTTGGCTTCATCCCCTTTACTTCCACCAACTCCAATCAGTCGATCAATTATTTGTTTATTAGCCACTAGGACTGCCCGGGCCTTCCAAAGAGGCTTACGAGGCGAGGCAGCATGCATTTGACAGTTTGCCGGCTCCTACTCATCTTTCCCCACTCTGCAGGTTTCGTTGCTGGCAGTAAAGGCCGAAGCTGAAATAGGCAGCCGCTTTCAATATTTAAGCCCCCGTCTATTTGCAGGTGGCCCACCCACCCCTTGTCCATCCACGGCTCCTAGCGGGGCATCGTGTGGGTGAAGCTGCCGTGCGTTATGGCAGCACTGGGCTGCCAGTATTCGGGGTTTGGCCACATTAAGACTCTCCTCCGCTTGTCTCTCTTCCAGTATCTTCTCTTGGTGCGAACTGAGATGACGGCTTCCCAGAAGCACCTGGCCGAGTTCTGCGGCTCCCTTAAGCAGTACCTGAAGAACGTGGCGGGAGACCAAGATTGCTTCCAGTCAGTAGGACTTGGGTGTTTCATGCCATGGGACAAGACTAAGAGTGTGCGGAGAGGCCTGCAGCGTAGCCCCATAGCTTTTCCCGCCCGGGAACAATTCGGGCTGAAGCCCGGAGAGCTGTTGCTGCCAGCCAGTGCTAGCAGTATTAGATTATGAGTAGTACCGCTGTTCCCATGCTCCTGTGACTTTTGGCAGGAGATTTCCTTGGCTGCAGGTGCAGACTTGTGGGGGTCTCCGAATCTCTCTCACCATTCTAGCACAAAACCTAGGAAAGACACTGCCCAATCACAGTCTTTGGGATTTTTTCTTAGGACCTTCTGCTTTCCCTAAGCCGAATTTCCTGGGAAGGAGAGAGAGGCCAGTGGCTGTAATCTGTTTTGTTCCACCAGCCGAGCAGGGATTATAAATCTCACTGGGCAAGTCCCAAAGGAGCATCGCCTCAAAACCTACTAATCCAACCCTCGCTCTCAGCATAACCAACCCGAACAAAGCTTGTATTTGTTGCTTGTTTGTTTTGACATCTGCATGCAGCCCCCTGACTCCAAGCGGAGTCTTTTCCTGGCAAGCATTCAGTTCAGCCACTTGAAAACAGGACAGTGGCTCATACCACGTCAAATTTGCTGGTCCAGCCAGGCGCTGAACCAAGTGGCTTGCTTGTCTTTAAGGCTGCCCTGCTCTTCTTGCACGCATTATTAGGATTAGAATGATGATGATGATGATGATGCTTGCAAAGAACCCAAAGCAGCTGAGCACTTCTCCTCCTCCCCATTTTATCTTCACAACAACACCCCTGTGAGGTGGGTTAGGCTGAGAGTCAAACAGATTGCTTGCACCTCTTCACCTGCGTTGTGTCTCCTCTGAATTCTCCTTTTCCCTAATTTAAGCTGTGGGAGATGGAACCTCCCACTAGCCTGAAAGTCTCGCGTCTGACTGCTTTCCGCTTTCTTTCCTGTCTCGCAGCGTCACTGCAGTGAGACTTCCCGATGGGGTCACTTTCATCGTCTATGAATTCTGGGAGACAGAGGATGACTGGAAGAGGTAAGAGGAAGTGCTGACAAAGAGGGAGCCCGGCTGAGTTGTCCCCGCAAGCCACGTTGCGGCACCCATAGAGTTGACACCCGTTCTAGAAGGAAGGAAGGAAGGAAGGAAGGAAGGAAGGAAGGAAGGAAGGAAGGCAGAAGGAAAAGGAATCACAGAGCAGGCAAAGGGGATAAGGAGGGACACGGCTGTTGTTGCTGCCCTTCCCCCTCCCAGGGGATGAAACCAGCAGGATCGGGGCCCTCCACCCAAAATCAGCTCCCAAAAGCAAGGGAAGCCCTCCCTCATTCTGATTTCCCCAGCACCCAGAGCCAGTGACGGGATCGACTTCCGGTGCCCTGCTAGGCTGCGGCCAGGTGGCCTCGAGGAGCCAGAGGTGACCGTCACCTCTCTGTGCTCTGGTGCATTTCCCACCCACCAGACATGAGGCAATTCGCCTGGCGCCATCTTTATTTTCCTCTTGGCGCCAGGCAAAGGCATACCCTTTTAGGAAATTTTCTAACATTTAGCCTGAATGCTGTGACCCTCTTTATATTGCTTTTATAGATGTTTTACTTCATGCTGTTTTCATTGGTTTTAGTGCGTTTTACTTTGTTAATATGTATTATGTATTGTAAGCTGCCTAGCAAGGCCTCTGACATTATAGGCAGCCCATAAATACATGTATAAATGAATACAGAAGAGGTGGGCGATGGGCAGGCAGGCAGGGCCTAGGGAGCCAATGGGAGTCCCTGTACTCTCCTTCCTCTGCCTGCCCTGGCCTGTAGCTAAGGATGGGCAAGGGGACCTGCTCACACCCCCCACCACCAATCTCAATAGAGTTTAGCCGTTATCTTTAAATGTTTGTATTTCTGCACCTTTCTAATTTTAACAGAGTTTAAACTTTAACTGTCTGCAAAACAGAGGAATGCCCCCTACTCTTTGGGCATCCCCAGGCTTCTGGATTGGCTTCAGTTCTGCTCCTTCCAGGACCCCCAAGGCCGCTTGGAAGAAGGCTCCCTGGTTCTTTCCAGATTCTGGAGCCCCACTTCAAGGCAGGGTCTGCAGCCTTGGAGGAGGAACCCCAAAGGATCTATGGGCCCCGGCATGTTCCCAGAGGGCCCAGTGGCTCTCCAAGCAAAGGACTCGTGGACAAGCTAAAACAGCCTCCCCCAGCCTGGTGCTCTTGGGGGTGTTGCACTACGCCTCCCAGCATCCCCAGTTGATAGAGCATAAAAGTCAGAATAAATCAATCGCTCTTTTTCCTCTCGCAAAGAAGCCAAAGAGGCATGCATGCTCCTCCTGCTCTCCGTCTTATCCCCACAACAGCAACCCGGGGAGGTGGCCTGGGCTGAGAAGTCATGACGGGCCCAAAGTCAGCCAGTGGGCTCCGTGCCTGAGGGGGGACTCGAACCCAGGCCTCCCAACCCAACTCTCTAAGGACACCGTGGCTGGGAGTCCTGGCCCAAAGCTCCTGGCGGGCACCGAGTTGGAGAAGGCTGGTGCATGAGCTCACCTACAGAGGGGGGCTTTGCCCACCCATCCCAGTGGGCCTGATCGTCCAGAGTAAGGCAAGGGGCCCGTCGTCACCCCCCTCCACTCTTCCCCTCCCTCCAGGCACCTCCAGAGCCCCGCCTGCAAAAGTTTCCAGCATGTGAAAGTGGATACGCTGACTCAGCCCGAAGCGGTCTCCAACGTGTCAGTGCCAGGTACCGATGCGGACGTGCCGCAAGCACGAAATGCAAGCCGTGGGGTGGCCACTGGCTTGCGGAGCGGAGCCGTAAAGTCACAGCCCACGTGGCTCCCTTGTGGCAAGGGATTTCCTGCCCGCATAGCTCTCAAGGATGCACTGGGGTCAGATCAGGTTCACAAGACACGAGATGCCATGATAGAAACTTACCATGCAGGGTCTGTCATGTCATCTGGACCCGGTTCCGTAGTCCCTGCCTGTAGGATTATTTTTCTGGAACCACAGAGAGAGTCGGCGACCGCTTCTACGTTTTCAGGGCTTCCTCACAGCTTCTCTGGTCATCCAGAGACAGGATCGCCATTTTACCATTGTTGATATGGAATCTCCGTAGAGTCCTCTGGCAAGAGTGACCATGGAAGTGGCCACTTCTAGCCTAGGATCTTACTGTCCTCACAGCACCCTAGCAAGAGACGTGTCCTGGCTGATTTTAGCTAAGCAATCTGTCCATCTCCCTGATTACTTGTAGGAGCAGGAACAGCACAAAAATTCCCAGAGGCAGAAGGGGGGGAATCTTGGTGAAACTGCTTATATTCATTGAATATTAATCTCTGTGGGTATACCCGGGAAGGGGGGACCCACCTCAGGACTACAGCGGACCAATCAGGAGGGGGCTGCAGCAGTCCCTGTGCAAGACTAGGGCAAAAACCGGGATGTCACTCATCAGGGCTGCCGGGATGAAATCAGTGAACCAATGTCATTTGATACACTACTTCTTACCTGTGTCACCTGCCTCTTCCTTATTGGCCCACACATAGGGGTTAGAGGGCTAGAGCAGCTCCAGCGGTTGCCCCTCTTTCCAGAGGACTCTCTGGTATTTGTATGCCATGACCATGGAAACCATGATCTTGGTTTCAGCCAACACAACAAGCCATGGTGGCACCGAGAAACCCTAGAACAAACCATTGTTTCTGATCATGGTTTCTGAAGACCAACCTTACCATGGTGAAATACCACGGTGAAATACCATGACTCAGAGAACACAACAGACCAACAATGGTTAAAACAAAAACAAAAACCACCATGGCACACACAGGTACACACACACACACACACACACACTAAATTGTCTATGAGCAACTGGAGAGATGGTTGCACGGATGAAAGAAAACCCATCAAATGGCGGCTTGACTGCCCTTTTGTTCAGGCTCTGGCCCGCCCTCCTTACTGTTCCGTCTTTCCCTTACAGCGGCTTGGTGCACCCTCAACAGAGACTGACACGAAGAAGGCGGTGCCCCTGGGCACGGGCAGGCCTCCCTTTCTCTTCTTTCTGCTCTTTTGCAAAGAGCAAAACTTCTGTCTTTTCTAATGACTTTGTTACAGGTGTTGTCTTCCCCACCTCCAATGCATTTCTACCCAGAAATGTTGTTATTTGCTTGCTATTTGAAGTGAAGTGGGGGGGTGGGGGGACTGTACACACTATCAAGCCTTTAGCTTCTGATCGGCCCCGCCAGGCATACAATCCTCAGCAGAAGGGCTCTGGGGCTCTGGGGGGGGGGGTCCACTGTGGGCCACAGCCTTGCTCTGAAGCATGGCCCCAGGGTCCTATTCCACTTTGCATGGGACTATCCCAGGTTCAGCCGCCAGGTAGGGCTTGAGGGACTCCACGCTGCCTCCAGCACCAACTCAGTGCAAGCCAGGTCCTACGCTCCTGCTCTTATCATGAGCAGGACCTGCTGACAATCCACTCGGAAACCGAGAAGGGCCCTCACATGGGCCCCAAGAACCCCAGTCATGAGCTCACTGGATTTCCAGCTCGATGCCTGCTACAAGACATGCTGCACTCCTGCCAGGTGCTCCTTCCAAATCCTCTGATTAGGTGGCCTTCTCCTTCGGCCAGGGCCCCCTCGCCAGTTGCTTGCCGTTAGCCAGGGTTTACGGGAGTTGTCCAACCAGCTGGCAGAGCGTCAGGTTTGGGAAAGGCGCTGGTTTCCGAAGGCGCTTGCTTTTCTGCCACGCAGCATTGCCAAAGGCAGGAACACGGAGCTTACCTATGCCCAACTCGAGCTGGGAAACTCAGCCATTCCCACTCCCCGGGGACCACCATTCCCTGAAGGCACCTCCACACAGAACTCAGCACCCTCTGCAAATGGCAGGCTGTGGATCCTTTGGAAGAAGCCACATGGTGGTGCTAAACTAAGAAGGGACTCCGAGTATAGATATACCCTTGATTGCACCAAGTTAGGAGACGCGTAGAAGAGTCTTTTGGGGACACAGATTTGTTTGAGTATCTTGTGGGCCAAGCCATGGTGGGCAAGTCCTGCTGTGCGCAGGCTTCACCCCCATAACAGCTTAGCCCCCAGGGCAGGGCTCTGCAAGGGGGCACCCTGGCCCGCCCAAAAGCTGCAAGAGAACGGATACATGCAGAAGCACTGCAGTGAGCACATGTGAGATACAAACAGCTGTCTAGCAAAGCACCAAAAAATGAAATGAATAACCGCACAAGTCTGTTCGCCCCCCCAAAAAAATAAAAATTGCTGAGAATGTTGCAGAGCAGGCGAGACCTCGGCATGTCCATGCGTCCGGCCTGGCCCGGAGGCTGAGCCGGGTTCCCCACACGTGCACGCCGTGCGTGGCCCCGGCAGCTGCGGGACCCTGGATTTGGACCCCTAGATTCACCACTGCTCCAATGGCCCCATTTATTTATGTTACTTTTTAAAAGCTCTTTACCCCGTCCTCTCCCAGAAGTCTCAGGGTGGTAATACAGTAAGAAGCACAGCATCACACCCTCAAAATCCGATTAAAGGCACAATTAAATCTTAAAATGTTGGGGAAATAAACGAAGTGGATTGCTTTTCCCAGCTCTGCCCCAAGCCCTGCCTTGAGTCCTGGGATCAGGCCGGGCGGCACCCCCAGAACCTTCGGGGGTTGCACACAGATTTCCGGACAGGCAACTTCCGTGTTCCAGGATCTTGTGGCTGGGGGGCTTCACTCGCTGCTTGGAAGGAAAAACAAAATCTGCCCCCTCTCCCAGGCTGGTTGCACACTGTAAAGGGAGGGCATCCCAAGAGCACCCGCAAACGGGGCCTGCTGCAAGCCGGAGGCGGCGCTCCTCCCCGTCCAGGCATGACAGAAGAGGGACACCTACTCACAGGGAGTGCTTTCACGGCTCCCTGCAAGCCACGCTGCTGCCACAGAAAGCGGCACAGACATTCTGGGATGGGGAGGCGGTGCAGGAAGAGTGACCCGCCCTCCCCACCTCAAGGGAGTCTGTGCTTGGTGTGTGCATGCCCCCACCTCAGCGGGGAATTGCTGGGCCCACGGGATGGCAAGGGAGGCGACGGAAGATGCCGGGCATGCCTCCCTACCTGCGGTCCGTGGTTGGCAGCACTGAGCACCCCAGCTTCCCACAGGGAATTCTGGGAACGGTAGTCTGGGGCTGGGGCTGAGATTTATCTGGCAGAGTTCCGCAGCATAAATCCCCACCTACCCATTCCCAAGCTCCCATGGAATGAGAAAATTCCCTGCAGACCACGTCAAGGCTGTAGCACAACCGCCAGGAGCATCCTTTGCAACCTGCATCACTTCCCCCTCTGGGTTCCCCTCTATTTCCTTCACTTTAACGCCAGTGCATGAATAACAGACAAGCCGCGATGTACTTGGAGACCCTGTTTTCCCCGTCTCTTGCCGTAGAAAGTAGCTCTCCTGCATTTGGAGCATTTTCATTTTTAAAATATTGTTTCTAACCAGGACCGAAGCAGGCAACGTTTGAAATAAAATTTTAAAAAAAGAAACAAAAGACAAAAAACAAAAAAGGACAAGCCGCCCTCTTCCTTCGCTAAGAGGCTTGCTTATCTTCACTTTTTGAACATAAGCTTTGATAGTTCACACGTCCTGCTTTAGAAAGGAGCTTACATAGCTCTTAAAATGTAGCATACTAGAGAATGTCAGTATTAGTCAATATATACGCAATTTTAATATCTACATATAGAGATATATATGCGCTATTGTATAATTATGACTTAAGTGCTGATAACCAAATAAAAGTAAAAGACAAAAAGGGACATCCTGTCAAGACCTTTTTCTTGCTTTTCCTTTTTCTTACGTGCCCCCATTGTTTGGATGCGGAGGTGGCAGCTGGGAGAGAAACTTCTGTTTTGCAACATGCATGGCCTCAGAGCATTTCTATGACACTTCAGAGCACAATCCTAAGCACTTTATTTATTTGATTTATATTCCACTTTTTTTCAAAGATGTAAAGCAGCTTACATCATTCTCCATCTTGTAAGCTGCCTTGAGAATTCAGTAGGAGAATGCATATAAATGGAAATGATGCATATACATGGAAATAAATAAATAAATATTATCCCCACAACAACAACCCTGTAAGGTAGGTCAGGCTAAGATTCTGTGACTGGTCCTCAGTCACCCAGTGGACTCCATGGCCAAGTCCCAGTTCTGTGCTCTTAACTACTACATCATGCTGGCTCTCAGAAAAAGGAAAAATGTTTAGCCAGAAAAAAGTCCTATGAGGAAGGTTGAGAGCTGGCCAGCTTTACTCAATCTAAACTTGCAAGGGTGCATGTTTTGTGTGCTAAAAAAAATGTTGTGCATAGAAAATGCTCGTGAGTCACAGAAACGAGCTTGCAATGAGGATTCCTTCTGTCTCCAGCATGCAGTCCTGACAGCGCCCCTTTTGGCCATTTCAAGCACCAGATCCTGCAAAGGAAAGTTGCTCTCCGACAAGGGGCTTTCCAGATAGCCGTCCCTTGCACGGCTGAAAACGAAAGGGTGCTACAGAGCAGAAAGCTGTGCCCGCCACCTCCAGCAGGTCGTACCCTGGCTGGGCAGAGAGACAGACCGTTGAAGCCAGCAAGCCAAGGAGAAATGATGCACCAGCTTTTATACCCACAAAAAGCCCAGCTTGCTCCTTGTTCATTTTCCCTCACACACACACCCACACACCTGAGAGAGAGTACTTTTCCTGATGAAGGGCCAGCAACCCAATTCAGTGCAGGGTTGGAGCGAAAAGGGTCGCAGGTACAGCTACATGCCGAGAACAATCCCAGAGCCCCTGCCTGAGTCAGGTGCCCCAATCCGAGTTGAGAGACATGGCTCCAACCTGGCTGTTTTATGCCCTGAAGACATGAAGGATGCTGGAAAAGGGGTACGCAACCTTGCACACCCCACATGTTCTGGACAGCAACACCTGTAGTCCCACAGCGTTGTGCAGGCTGGCTGGTGTGGATGGAAGTTGTTGTCCAACCCATCCAGAGGGCACCAGGTTGCCACCCACACTAGAGAGCATGAACAAAGATCTGGCTTCAGGGATACACGGCATTCAGACAACCAGAGGAGCCCTACCCGCAAAGAGAAGACTTTTGCTCAGAATCCGGGAGATTCGTTTGAGAGCCTTGTTTAGGGCCTGCATGCGCACGAATCCCAGCAAGCTAACAACATTTGAATGTGCTTCCAGGAGAACTGAAGGTAAATTCAAGAGCCAATGAGAACAGTCTTCAGGGTGGTGCAAGTGGCCCCACCAAGCACACCAGGGTCCTGATGAGCACCCATGGCCCTGCAGGGGCTCCTGGAGAGCACTCCACCTTGAGCTTCTCCAGCTCCCGGTAGGGTACCAGCTTAACAGAGCCCCCGGGCGGGCTCTTCCCCTTTCCCACAGCAGCCTGCAGGTTCCCCAGCCTCTTGCTCTGGTCCAAACCACAGAGTCGTGGTAAGGAACAGCAGGAGATGCCATGACCCAGAGCATGGTCTGGAGGCACAGGAGGCATCCGTCATGCTGAAGCTAAGCAGGTCCCGGGCTGGCCTGAGATTGGAGGGGAGACCCCCTGGGAGCCATCTTGTGTTCCACCATGGGAGAAAGGCGGGATAGAAGCACAATAAATGAACAGAATGAACGATCTCCATGCTCCCTGGATCTCTGCCTACCGAGCACGGAAGCCAGAGCAAGACGAAAGAGGCGGAAGAGCGAGAGCAGGAGTTGGCCAGGAGGGCTCCCTGCGGGAAGGGCTCTTGGGCAGGGGCTGCAGAAACCTGGAGCCAGCACAGGCATCCCAGCACATTTTTCTGCCCCTAGAGTCAAGACAGACCACAAAAAGAAACACCAGAAGCCGAAAAGCAAGAGCACCTGATGGGTGACAGGTGACCCGTTAGGCAGCAGAAATGTGTACAAACATGCAAGAATGTATACGAACAAAAGCAATAGGTGAACTATGTTCAATAGGTGAAAAGGCACAACCAGTTCTGTAACTTTATTTACCCATACCAGGCAGCTTAAAAAGTAGCAATCCTTTACATGATGTTCAGCAGGTAAAATCTCCACGCCATCAGATGGAGGAGCCTCTTTTCACTGCTGCCACCGCGAGGCTAGAGCTTGTACAACAGTTCCATGACAGCAATGGTTGTGCTTTGCCCGAAGATGAACGCTCCACAAAGGACGGTGAGGACCCCCCAGGTAATTAGGCAGAACCTGCAAGGGTGCGGGGGGAGAAGGACAAAAGACGGAACTAAGTGCACTTGCGAGATCATTTCACTTCTGGGCCAGCAAAGCCCGCCAGGCAGTTCACTGTAGAACCTTCCTAATATACAGAAACATTATGTTCATATAGAAAGCTTGAACATAAAAATATGCATGCAGTTTAGAACCACTAAAACACCCTTGCAGCAAGATGCTGGGGCCTGATAAACGGCTTACTGTGAAGTCCCATCCTGTGCTGTCAGACCTCTGGGAACAGAGTGCTGAAAACATGGCCAGCCATACCTTAGTAGCCAGGGCATTCCGCCACTGGGGCCACTACTGAGAAGGCCCCACCCTTGCTGCCCCCCCCCCCCATGGGCCTCCCTTGGGAAGGCACTTGCAGGCTCACAGCATTTGTCTCACTTTGTTCCCAGGTGAGGTAAGGCTTTATAATCAAAACTAGGACTCTGGACGGGGAACTGCATAGGCCTGCAGGACGAAGGAGCCAGCGTCACTGCTAGACACTTAGACACCCTGTGCCCTCCATCAGCCTGATCGCCCGCGTTCTGCCCACGCTGCGGCTTCCAGCCCGTCTTCATAGCCAGTCCCACACAGAACGCATTGCAGGCTCCGGCTTGTCCAGGTCACTGAAGTAACCGGACTGTGATTAAACACACTCACTGTTGAAGGTGGAGCCGCCAGCAGATGTCAAAGTTGGAATTTCTGGGAATGTCCAGCAGCAGCCCTGTTGCCCTCCCACCCACCAGAGGCTCCCTGTCAGCGGTGGCCATGGGGACAACCTCCAGTTTTACTCTCCAGCTGCAACACAGAGGTCAGTGCTTATTGCTCCCCGCAGGAAAAACATCCCCCCTCCCAAATACCAAAACTCCAAATGAACATCCTTGACCGAACACGCCAAATACCCCAGTAATCTGCTTCCAACAGGGGCAGCAGGTTCCACCAAAAAGCCGGAGAGCAGAGTTGGAAGGAAACTGGCTCCATACATACAGCAAGCACCGCAGTGCTGCCTGTAAACATGGGGGGACCTTTTAGACATCAAGACTAATGAGCACCGCCTTAGAACAGTTAGACCAGGCGTAGCTTTTCAGTTAATTTTGCCAAGTATGAAGAAGTATTATCCTAAATCTCCTGCATAAATCGGTGCTATCCCAACTCTAATGCCAATCTACTTCTTTGGAGGATCCTGAACTTCAGGGCTGTGATTGCATTTCTTGTAAGCCTGATGCATAATTTTTAGCCAGCACCTAACTTGCCCCCCTTGCCATGTAAAGCAAAAAGCCTCGGACATCCACAGCAGCAATGCCCCCGTTTAGCAGCCATCCTTGTGGCTCTCTGCTGCAGTGCTCGCAGCTCTCCCAGGCCATCTTTTGCAGACGGGAGAAACAGAACGGGTCCAGGCAGCAGTGGCAGCTTTGGGGTGCAAGCGAACGCTACTGACTGTGCTCAGGATGCCGCCACGCGGGGTTTGGTTTCTGGAATGAAGGCAAGATCTTGCATTCCACCCTTTCACTACGTTCCTCAGCATTCAGTGGTGCAACGTGAGCGGGATCCTCTTTGCAAAACCCCACGCCTTCTATCCGCTTGGCCTTGGATTTCCCCTTCGTGGCTAGCCGAGAATGTGATGATTCATGTGTTTGTGTTTGTGGGCATGAGAGAGAGAGAGAGAGAGAGAGAGAGAGAGAAATTTCTCAGGTGCATATACCTCTTCAGCACCTTTCTCTTGGGGGGAAAAAATAGCACCCACTGGTTTCAGCTTCCAGAAATATCAGAGCCAGCCTTCGGCTCTGAGGAAAGGGGAGCTCCATTCAGTCCAGTTCATCAAGTCCCAGCAATCCAAACTGCAAACGGCAATGCAGCCTTGCCTGATACCTCCCAAATCGGATGGCTGTGCAAAAGTCAAAAGCACCCCTAGGCCAAGCCGAGGTCTCCTTGGAAGGATCTCAGAATGGTTTGCAGGTTGGAATTCTTCCAAAATCCTCCCCCATTTCTTGGAGATCTGGATTTCTCCCATCTCATTTGCAAACTCGCAACTGGTGCATTGGGAATCTCTTGTTCTGATACCTCTGATCTCCAGATTTTGCATGGAGCGCACTGTGCACGCACAGTCTGCCACAGTCTCTGCCTGATGTGCACCATCTCCCCCTCGGTGCTACAAGGCTTTCCTTTGCAACGTGATGGGAGGGTCGCTGAAGCAGCAGCGAGAATCTTTCTCCGCATTGTTTCCAGATGCACCCAAGCGAGCCAGAACACTCAAGCTTGGTGCAGTGCTTAGAAAGGTGGACCAGGCCTCGGGAGATCCAGGCCTGGTGCCCACGCGGGCCAGTCCCAGCCTTTCAGCCTATCCTACTCACCAGGCTGTTGTGCAGAAAGCTTCATTTCACAGTTTGGAGCCTCTGCACACTCCCCAGAATGGAGGCAGACTGGGTGAAGCAGTGCAACAGAAGCCAGTATGGGGCAGCGCTTAAAGGTCCTGCGCTTGGACTCGGGAGAGCTGGGTTTAGTCCCCACTGGGCCTTGCAGTTCATTAGAGTCACAGAGTCTAAGCCTAGCCTAGCTCACATAAAAAAGGAGAGAAGGAAGAGGAAGGTGACAGTGGAAACCCCCTCAAGCTCCTTGCAAGAGGAAAAATGCTGCCAGATAAATATTATAATAAATGCAAGTGTCTGCATCAGCCAAATGTCGCACCTTAAGGTGAGGTGCCAGTTACATCCAGGCAGCACTGCACAAATGCATCAGCCTCTGAAGGACGAGTACCACTTGTGAAAACTGTTAGGGGCTGGCACCTTCCTGAGGTTATGCACAGCACATCCTGAGGACCATCCGAGCCCCCTTGGGTCCCTTGCAAGAAGAAAAAGTGGGATATAAATGCATTCCTCTTCCTCAATCATAACATGCCCCACAACCAAATGTGCACCCCAAAGTTTCCAAAACTGCAGACTGCAGCACTGATCTGGGCGCTGCCGGCACAGGCATAAGTGGGAGGTGGGGGGGGGTACACCTACTTGGTCCTGGCCTTGATGGGTTCTGTCTGCATTGCGCACACCAAGCACAGACCTGCAATGAAAACAAATCACTGCACATTCTTTTCCATGCATATACCTGAAATCAGTCTTTTCTTCTGCCCTGCAGTGCAAAGCCAGCAGCCTGTTCAGGTAACGTTGCATTGAGGAGCAGAAGAGAAATTTGATTGTATCTTTATTCATGAGCATTTCCAGTTCTCCAATCATATTTGGCTTTTCGATATTCCTTTCCAAAGCAGCCTAATCATTTCTGATTCACATCCAGGAGTGCACGGGTGGAAGTTGGCATGTGCTGCCAGTTTACAGCGTTTTTTCAGCCTTACTATTATTAATTTTTAAGCCATCTGGTCATGGATGAACTCCTCTCATCTCGTTTCAGAACAGGGCTCAGTAAAGTGAGTTGTTCCCCCAGAGAAGCAGCTGCTTCCACTCCTACAACCCAGCCCAGGTCCAAAATACAGACCTTGCTGCACCCCAGAACACAACTGGCAGTGGCAGCCCTTGGACGTGCTTCCAGGATGCCTGATGCGCTAAAGATGCTGTTGCCCGCAGAAACAACATTTCCCGGGGCCACTGGTTTGCCGCGTCCAAAAGACTCACATGCATCAGCTCCGCTAAGAATCTGAGCGGACAAAACATGAGGGGCAGGGAAAGTAAAGACCAACTCTGCAAACTTGGACAAAGCAAGGTAGATGCAAAGTTTCGGAACATCACTAAAAAGGAACAAAATTGCATGCCGTTCTAGTTCTCAGAGCTGTAAATAAATGATTGAACATGCAGAAACCTGTTCTCCTGTGAGAAAATTTGGGTTACCTTGACACCGAGTTTCAATTAGCTTTCTTTGCTGCAAAGGACACCCAGCTCTGGTCACAACCTGCACAATGATCACCGAGGCCCTAACAAAACAGCATCTCCCTTGAAGGAACAACAGCCCCCTCCTGGAAAGGCAGCCTTCTCATGCATTCACGAATACCTTGCCTAAAGAGGGCAGGGAGGGGATAGGGGTTCACTGAAATTAATCTGGTTCACCTTTTCAATGTACATTGACCTACTTCGCACTTCTTTAAAGAATACATGAATCAGAATACAACTTCTCCAAATTTTGCATCGAGTTGCCCAATCAGAAAATCCGTACAGTCCACGATCTCATGTGCACATTTTTGCACTTCAGAAAAAGTGCTTGCAAAAATGTGCATTGGGGGAAATGGTGTCCAAGACTAGCACAGCTTTGGGAGCAAGCTTTCAAAACAAAACTTCCACAAACGTCTGTAGAAAAACACTGGACTGAATCTATGCTTGGAAAAATGGACATTACAGAAAGTCAAAAGGGCAGATTCGGTCTGTCAATATAGTGAAGCAAAAGCACTCATCACCCTATTAATTTTTTTCCAGCAGTTAGGGGGAGGAAAGAATGGATTTTCCAAATAAAGAGAGTAGGTCAGCGTTGAGGATCTGGGCCAGGTTCCGGGGCCTGGAGCGCTCCGTGAGGCACCACGTGCTTTCCCGGAAAAGAAAGTGTGGCTGCTGCCACCCAAGTTAAGCAGGAAACGGCGACAAGACTGTCGTATGCGAAACGTGGCTTCAGAGTGGGATGCATGCGGCTTTTTATGGTTCCTTCTTTGCATGGCTCCTTTTCTGCAGGTGTGAATTTGTAGCAGCCCTGCGCGGGGGGGGGGGGTTGGCAAGGAACCAGTGTGGGCTTGGGGATGAAAGACTGCGGCGCTCCCTTTTGCATGGGAAAAGCTTCCTCGCTGACAGAGCAACCCAACTGTGGGACCAGCTGCCTGGAGAGGGGGGGCTCTCCCACACCGGAGACATTCAAGAAGAAACTGGGCAGCCTGTGAGTGGGAGGGTGTGGCTTGGTGCCCTGCACCAGTTGTCCAACTCTACTATTCTGTGATTCTGTGTCATCTCCTGTACAATGAAGGGGCCAACCTGCGCTTGAGAAAAAGGCCCCGCCTAGCCAACATCCTGCAGGAACAAGGAGACAACCTCGGCCCTTCAAAGAATCACCACCCATATGAACTCCTTCACCCTTCCCTAAATAAGAGCGCGCACAAGACGGGGCGTACCTGGGAAGATGAAGATGAAGAAGGCACTGATGCCGCCGATGCCGCTGATGACTTTGCTGATGTCCGGGACGCACAGGGCGATGGCCAGCGTGACCACGACCCAGCCCGTCGTGAGCACGACCCGCAGCCCTTTCTCGTGGGGCTCCCTTGTCAGGGCCAAGCCGCACTTGGCGCTCAGGCAAACGTCCTGCAGGACGGACCTGGCAGACACAATCAATGCGCCGTGGCAACCTCGTTCCCGAAGTGGCCGGGCCAGCAGCACGGGGGTGGGGGTCTTGATGCCCATCCCTTCCTAGGATGCCCAGTGCTGCAGCAGGAGACACACCCAGCAATCGCTTCCGCTCATCAGGAAGGCCTCCGTGGTGCAGCGGACAGTCTTGCACTGGGACTCGGGCAATCCGGGTGCTGGTTCCCATTTGGCCGTGACGTTCCCCGGGTGACCAAGCACCGCCTCTCGGCCCAACCCTCCCCACAAGGCTGCCGTGAGGCTAAAAAGCAGAGGAGGACCATCCGAGCCCCTCGCCTTCCTTGCAAGAGGAAAAAGTGCCGTATAAATGCATTCCTCTTCCTCAATCATAACATGCCCCTCAACCAAATGTGCACCCCAAAGTTCCCGAAATTGCTGGTCTGAGCACCGATAGCCATTCCCATCTCCCACAAAGGTGGGCCTTTTTGTAATGCCAGCGAGTCTTCACTGCCCATTCCAGATGGGGCCACCCCAAAATACTTTGGGGTGAGGGGGGCAGAGGACTTCCACGCCCCTGCCAATCCAAAAGTGCCATTCACAGGCTGGGGTGAGATGGAGGTGGGAATCATTTGCTCCCACAGACCTGATGTGGAACAATTAAATGGCTGCAGCCATTGATTTTTCTAAAGGCCGTGCAATGCCGGCCATGCTTTCAATGGGGTATCGGGGTACCAAGGAGCTAGAAAAGGGCACTCCAAATGATCCGGGGGCTGCAGCAACTCCGCCCCCGGATGAAGAACGGTTGTGACATTTAAGGATTTTAACTTGGAAGACAGTGAGGAATTGAGGAGTGACAGAGGCATATAAAATTATGCGTGGTGTGGAGAAGGTTGACGGGAGATGTTTTTCCCCATCTTTCAAAGTGCTAGAACCCAGGAGGGTTATCCATTAAGTTTCTTATAGGGAAGTGAAAATCCAAAGGGTTTTCACTATCTTCAGGCTCCTCCCTTGAGTTCATTAGCTGGCTGGTGAAAATTCCACTTGTGCAAGTCAAGGTAACTCAGACCTCCACCTCTAAGATGCGTTGTGGCTTGCACAATTAAAAAAAGAACATGAAGGACACATGGGCAGATCATACTGTTGATGCTCAGTGGAGGCTGAAAGCCATGCGGTTCTAGTCCTTGCGTGCATGTCCTTAGCATTTTGAGGTGCATTCATTTGATGGATTATATTTGTATCCCATGTTTTTTGCCTTCCAAGAAACTCAAGGCAGCTTACGTGAATCTCCTCTTTCTTTCAAATTTATCCCCACAACAACAATCCTGTGAGGTAGGCTGGGCAGGGAGTCTGTAGCTGGCATAAAGTCTCCCAGTGAGCTCCATGGCTGAGCAGGGGCTAGAACCCGGGTCGTCTGAGTCCCAGTCCCGCACTCTTCACCACAACACCACGTTGGCCCTCAGTACAAACTGCAGCCCATCTTCGAGGCAGGCATCTATGGGAAAAAAAGTCCAACTGGGCCGTTTGATCCTCAGATTGAAAGTAGGCAGGAAGTCTGCTGGGCTCAAGCAAGGTGGACTTCACAGCACCAGTGTATCCCAACTCAACACAGACCGAAGGAAAGGCTGCAAGGCAGTACAGTCTCTGCACACATTTCCTTCCTCGTGGCACAGCATGGAAGCCAGCGTGGTGTGGTGTGGTGGTTCAGCACACGGGGCTGTGGCTCAGGCAATCCAGGCTCTTATCCCCACTCAGCCATGGAGCCAGCCGGGCAACCTCAGGATCACTGGAGATGCTCAGCCCAGCCCAGCCCAGCCCACCCCGCCGGGTTGTTGTGGTGGGCAATAAAATGTGGAGCAAAACGTAAGCCACTTTGCACTCTTTAAGAAGACAGAAGGTGGGATATAAGTCTAATAAACAGTGCTGGCCTCCGACCTGGGTGGCTTTGAGCGGGAGCGTCTGTATGGAGCGTCAGACAGGTTGGCTACCTATTGTACTCCAGTTCATGGCAGACCTGTTGCGGAAGACCTGCGCATGAGCAGGAAGGTTGGATCTTGCCTGTGTGTTGCCCACTGCATCTTCCTGGCCTCTGGGAACGGAGCGTTAGACGAGGCAGGCCTTCGGCGCGATTGTTGTACACACCACCACCCCCGGTTTAGGCCACAAAATGCAGAGGCCCCCAGAAAATGGGAGAACACAGGGCCCTCGGTCCCTCAAACTCCGCATTTCTCTCAGGGCTCAAGCGGGGGAAACGAGGGCTCCCACTCTTACCGTCCAAGCAAAAGGGCGATGGGGTAGATGGTGAGGATGGAGACGCCAAACAGCAGGCGGGCTATGACGACCACCACGTCGTTTCCCGGGTAGGACATGAGAATGTCGGCAGCGACATCGGCTCCAAACGTCAGGTAGCCGTAAAGCCCTGCGGAGGGAACAGGCCACAGTGGCCTCGCAGACCAGCTCTCGGGAATGCGGAGAACATTCTCCGGGAAGAAGCAGGGGAAAGAGTGCCGCGAGGTTTGGGAGGAACGTACTCTGGCCACTACCCGAAACATGCAGAGAGGGTGTGCAAACATGGGGCAGGCATGCAACCTAGAGTCCCCTGGGGCACGGCACGCAACTGTGCACAGCCTTTCACTGAAAGGTCTCGCCTGCCTCGCAGCTCCAGTAGAAGCCTGCTGACTTTTCGCCTCCTTCCAGAACAGATTAAAAAGTCGCAAGGGTTAAGCTGATGTGAAAAGAGAGTGAAACCATTGGTCAGCCAGAGGGGGCGGATGAGTGTCCGTGGGGCATCCACCGACTGCAACTGGGGCCGCCGGTGTGGCACCGAGAGCATCCCTGCTGGCTCCTCAGGCACAGGAACAGGGCAAACTTGCAGGATTCGGAGTTGCTGGAGGGGTGCTTCTTGGGCGCCCCACTGCCTCCCCCAGGTGATCCCTCTTGCTGGCTCCCAGGCCCCACAGCCTGTAAAGATGGAACCACGTCTACACAGACCTACCATTTCCACTCAGGGGACAGAGAAGCCCCCGTTTGCTGCTCCAGTCTTCTTCCACAAAAGCATGAGGCCATTTTTCTTCTACTTTCATGGGAGGCACAAAGGTGGATCCCTACAACATTTCCCAGGTCAGAGACCTACCTGAATACCTGTACTACACGACTAAGGTCTTATTCTTTATCTTAAGAAAGAATCAGACTGCTCAGTAACTCAAGGAACTCCACAGAGCTGCAGCCTCGTAGCAACATTTCCTGGAAAGGGAGGTTGGCTTGTCAGGATGCCCTCCTATGGGCCATTCCAGGAGGCACGGCTGGCCGGGAAGCTGCAGAGATGCCAGGAAGCAGCTCCAGGCTTTCGAAACAAAAGTGGTGATGTGGAAAAGGTACCTCTTCCCTCCGCCCCTCCAGCCTTTCAATGGCTCCTATTCAACCAAGCAGTGGTGAATTTTTCTTGCTATGGGCCGTCAAGTCATCTCCAACTTATGGCAGCCCTATGAGTCAAAGCCCCCCAAATGCTCCCTCAGTGACAGATCCGTTCAGCTCCTCCAAGTCCAAGGCTGTGGCTTCCCTTGTGGATTTGATCCATCTTTATCTGGTCTTCCTTTTCGTTTTCTGCCTTCCACTGGTCCTAACCTGACCATCTTCTCCAGGGAGTCTTGACTTCTCACAAGGGGCCCAAAGCATGACAGAAGTTGAGAATACAGTGTCCCCGCAAAGTTACATTTCTGCATGACATTTGCCTGTGCTAATTTACATGAACAGATGCAAAGCTAGAAATGATCATTCCAGTTTAAATAGAACTATACCTAGCCATAGGGTAGAAACCAGTGACCAGGAGAACCGTGTAGACTTCCAGCTCCAGTTGGTGGCCAGGTGCGAACCGCAGATGGGAAGGTCTCCGTGACATGAGGAACAGTATTCCAAGAACAGTGACATGGGCAGCAATTCCAGGAATGACACTCAGAAATGTGCCCATTAGCTTCCATAGCAACCAGGCTGGAGCCTAGCCAACCTGGGAAATGGGTTATGAAGCACAGGTGCTTCCACAGCTCACCTCCATATCATTGTTTCAGCTGCCAGATTGTTTTTAAAATGTGCCTTTGGGTTCTCTTTACAGTGCTTTATTGTTTACTTATTGCATCGTGGTCCGGATGAAGCAAGCAGCCTGGAGAGATTCAGCTACTGGGCTGAATAGAAATAGATTGCGATGCCCCCTGGGTAACTTTGGGCCATTCATGGACTCCCAGCCTAACCTACCTCACAGGGTTCTTGTGAGGATCAGATGCAGGAGAACCTTGTAAGCTGCCTTGAATGCCTTACGAGGAGGAGGAAGGCAAGACAGTCGGTGCCATGATAGCAACAATATGGCACCTCTTTTCTCATGTGGGTGCAAAAGCAGCATCTCATGGGCCTTGAGGCAACTTCTCTGCACTGGGCACAACGCTCAGATGGGGATTTCCAGAGCAGTGATGAGGAACGACCTGGAACGAGATGCTCCCCAGGTTCCGCCAGCCAGGCCCAATTCCACGCCATTCCATTCAGCCTCCACAGTCCACCATTCTGTCCTGCATCCATCAGTCAGCATTCCCTGCCCACTGGGCATGCTCAGCCCCCGTTGGTGGGTCCTGGAGGGCCCTCTCATAGGGCTTTGCCCCTCACAAGCCCACCAATAGCTCCCCCGCTTGGACAGATAGTACCATCTACACTACATGAAGAGTCACACTCAGACAAATGCGTTAGTACAGCAACCTTCTGCTGGGTGCCTTCCAGATATGTTGGACTACAACTCCCAGCATCCCTCAGCCAACTGTGTGCTTAGAATTCGTCTCTTCTGGAGAACATGGGAAGGTGGAGAGAGATGCTGGCTGGGGGGTTATGGGAATTGTAGTGCGGCATCTCTGGACTGCTAAATTGAAGGAGACTGGTCTATAAAATACTGTGTGTTGAGCTCTCAACTCACACAGCTCACTCCTGATGCAGAACGAGAAGTAATTCGGTACAAAGCAGACAGGAGGGGTAGGGGCCTTTCAGGTCAGGCGCACAGGGGCAATTTGAGAAACACTCCTGGGCACTACCACAAAATGGTGGCCAAAGGGGCCATGGAAAAGGGCAGCCTCCTGTCCCAGAGGTCTGGGCAATTCACCTGCCCCCGTGTGGAAGGCAGAGGCAGGGGTCTGAAAGCTAACACAGACAACTTTGCTGGACACAGTTTTCGGCACCAAGAAAACCCTATTTCCCCATAATCCCAGCTTTCCATGAGAGGAGAGGGAGGGAGAGGGAGAGGGAGAGGGAGGGAGGGGGGGTTAGGGACCGCTTGGCAGGCCCCCGATGCGGGTCCCTCGGCTACGACGCTGCTTCCCCTGGTCCACAGGCCAGGGCCAGCTGAAGCCGGCTTACCTGTCAGGGAATAAATGAGCAAGCAGAAGAGCATGGACGTCACGGACACGACCACCCAGTGCGACAGCTTCTTGTTGCCCATGCTGCTGTAGATGGCGACACAGGCTTCGTGGCACTGAAACAGAGGGCGCGTGTCAGGGGAAACTGGCGGCAACCGGCCCGCCTTCATCCCGGAGCCCCAAGAGCATCTTTGGCGGCCTGCCCAGCTCCCGGTGGCTCTCCGGCAGCTCGCTGCGTCTGTGCCCGAGGGCTGTGGAGCACCTGCCAAGGCCCAGAGCCCAGCAGGCGCCCATGGACACAAATCCCGGAGCTGCCTCCTCTTCCCCGTCACAGCTGGCTGTCGGCCCACAGCTCACTCTCACCTGGGCAATGGCAGCGGCTCACCTTAAATCTATTGCTGAGCTGAGTGTCCGAGGCTTTTTACACTAAAGCAGGGAAGAAATTATGCCCATATACATGCTCATGCCCCAGTCCTCAACTGAGATCTACACCCGAGTAAAAATGAAAAAGAAAAAAAGATGTCACTGCTGGCTACAGATTTAGACTAATCTCTCTTTTGGCCTCCAGGCACTGAAATGACACTACAACGTGACCTCTGGGGACTCCCTGCAGGCACCAACGCCTCAAGAGGCTTGGAGGGTGACAAGAGACCAAGGGCCTTCTCCGTGGTGGCCCCCTTCTTCGGAACAACCTCCTGGGCAGCCCTGTCATCCCAAATTTGCCACCTTTTTGGTGCCAGGTCAAGACAGCCCTCTATTTGGAGGCCTTTAATCCTGATAATTCTTCTTGCTGGGTCTTTTGATGGTATTTGCCCTGCATTTTACAACTTCCCATCATTAATGTTGACTCTTAATGCTGTTGCTTTATCTTATTTGCATTATGTTTCGCTGCTCTGTTTGATACCTTGCTGTGAACCGCCCAGAGAATTTCAGCTATGAGGCAGTACAGAAATTAGAAACATAAGTCATCACAACAAGAAGGACAAGTAATGAATGGCTTTACTGCACTGGACCCCAGGCCCAAGCTGAGGAGCGACCCACGGCAAGGGCTTCCTTGCACAAACCCTGCTGACATGTCCTGAGTTGCCAGACCGTTCCTTCCGAGTTCCCTAGAAAGGAGGGGAGCTGCCCGTTTCCCCTTCTTCCTTTACAGCAGCTCCATGGCGGACCACCGCTTCCCTGCTTCAGAACAACAGCAGCTGCCACAAGCAAGCGTGCGTCAGAGTCAAGCGCAGGAAGAATGTCTTCAGAAATCCCCACTGAATGGAGGGAGCAGGCTAGATTCCACTTGGCAAGGGAGGCAGGCGAGCCCTATTTTCACAGGGCTCTGATGCATGGTCACTCTTACTCGTCGGAGCACCCGACATCCAGCCCCCTAACCCGAACTCCCAGCTTCAGGGGGATTTCCTGCCTTCACGCTATCCCAGGATGTTGCATCGCCTCAGCCAGAAAAGAATGCCGCACAGGGCCAGAGGTATTGTTCCATGAGACAGGGAGAGAACAGGAAAGAGGACGCTGGCCAACCCCCACCCTCCCAAAGCAGAAGGAAAGACGTTAAGTGCCTTACCTGGAAACCAAAGCAGATGGTTGGGATCACGCTGAACATGGAGGCCCAAGAGGAAGCCCTGCAAGAGTTGAGAGGGAAACGGTTAAAGGCCAGCCTGCGTGTCAATCGCCAGCTGGGCAGAAAGGAGTGCCAGCTGCAGAAATCCACCAGACCAACGGGGATGTATCCGAACAAAGAGGATTTCCCAAGGAAGGAAGCAAAGTCCCGCATCCATCAATCCCCTCTCCTTACTCTTTATGTCAATTCATAGAAAGTATCCTTTTTCTGAGAAACTGCTAATACCCCAGTGCATGCGAGAACTTGAAGCAAGATTCCCCTGCAGAGCTGATGAATGCTGGAACTCCAGAGCTGCGAGAAATGCAGCTCAGCAGGTGTCTTGTGTGCAGCGGGGCCCCCATCCAAGTCTGGTATCTCCTGGGCTGGAAAAGCCTCCGGTCCAAAACCTGGGGAGCTGTGGAGGGTCCGCGCAGACAGCCCCGAGCTGGATGAACCAATGATCTCTCCCAGTGGAACTCCGTGTGCTCCCAAGGTCCCCTTGGCTGATCAGTTCCTTCTCCGATCAAGCCTGGTGAAACAGCAGCTCTGCTTGATATGAAATGTGCGCTGGTCTATGCGAGCATTCAGACAATGCCATGACCCACATGCAAGGGCTGAATGAGGGTTGAGAATGGGCTGTCAGTGAAGCACGGCTTATCGTCTTGTCCAAACCCAGCCAAAATAACAAGCCACGGGGAGCCACTCCCTGTTCACAAGCCAACAAGAAGCCATACATTCTATTTGCAGGTTGTTCATGGTTAACAAACCATGATTTTTAGCACAGCTCAGTTCAGATAACACAATATTTTAGGACTCAAGGACAACCCACGCTACGCCTATACTCAGCCCTCGGTTATTTTATTGTCTGAACGCAGTCACTAAATTGTACCAAATGTCTCCTCCTCAATATCCCCCAGTATGTCCCTAAAATCCCATGACATAAGACAGCACCTTATACTGAAAGAGGGTTTTGGCCAATCTGTTTTTGATACCAGCAGACAAAGACTTTGCCATTCCAAGCAAGAGCTGTTCCAACCCTACATGGAGACACCAAGGATCAACCCTCTTCTGCATGCAAAACTTACGTTCGGCCGCTGAGCTAAGCGTGAGAGAGGTTTCACTCAGAAATACAGCCGGAGCTACGCTGAACCCGCCTTCCCACAGGGCCATAGTCCACTTCTGCCACCCCCTTGGCCACTTTTAACCTTAAAAAACACACACATTCTTGAAACCTTCTATCGGGGACACATCATCTAGTTTGGCCTTAAGGGAAGAAAAGAATGTATTTTAAAAAGCTAAAGTAGCTTAAACTGAGGAAATCTGTTTTTTATGATATGGATCTTGAGGGGGTGGCTGAGAAATTGGGAAAAGACAGGGTTATACATGTCCAGAGGAAAGATATTCTATCAACAAAGAGCCAGAAATGAAGACAGAAATTCTGAACTGTGGATCTTGGATTTATAGTTAGGGGGAAAAAAGGCGAAGCACATATTCAGGAGAAGAAAAGAAAAAAAGGAGTGCCCGGGAAATTAAAAAGCTTGGCCCTGTGCAGAATTAGGTGTGCCTAAGTCCCTGGATTCCAAGAAGCAAAAGGCAGCATACAAAGCAGCCCAAGAGGCGTTAATTGTCATCTGCAATCGTGCTCATTAGCTGTCACTCCTGGATACCAGTGCAGTAACAACATCCGGAACTGCTACAGGAGACAAGGCGAGAAAATCCATCTAGTGCTGCAGGAATATTGACACATCACATCAAAAAGACACTGGGGAGCAGGAGAATCGACAGCGGAGCTCAGGTTAGAGGCAAACAAGGGAACGGCGGCAGGTTCCACGTGACAGGATCTGGGCAGCACCTTGAAAGGAGCCTGCTGGGTCACTGCAAGGTGCTGAAGCCCAGCATCTGGCAGGAAGAGGCCGCTGCCCAGGCCAACACTTACCCCGAGGTCCGGCGGCGTTCATACATGACAATGCGATCCGTATCGAGGTAGTATTTTACCACAATGACAAGCATCAGGTAGCAAGCAGCCAGGGTGCCGAGAATGCTGAAACACACGCAAAGTGGAGCTGGTAAGGATTCTGCACGCTGGAAGCCTGGGGCCACCAGCACGCAAAGGGGCAACAGACTGCACCCCACAGCAGAAGTGGGGTGTCCATTCCGAGCTTTGCTGGTTGAGTCGGGTTTGGTGGGGGCAACGGGCTCTGTGCCATGTTAGGGACCACGGGGCTTTATTTCCTGGAAGGACCTACATTTCCTGCCACTTCACCGTTTTGACTTCCTGCGATTTCTGCACAACCCACCTGGTGCCCGTCAGCCGTAAGAGCACACGACAAAAGGCACACATCACCGAACTTGGGGAAAGGGTAGCGTTATAAGCATATAGGCGTATTTCTGAAGTCACCAACAAGAAACCGCAACAAGTTTTGTGACACCTTAAAGAGTAAGGGCACACCTTGTTCTTATTCTTTATTATTTATTACAAAGTATGTATCCCATCCTTCTCACAAGCACTCAGGATGGCTTACATAATATAGAATTAGAATAATACAATAATAAAACCACAATTATTAAAACAATATAAAACAGAACATGATATACTAAAAAGAAAAGGAAGGAAAAGAATAGAAAATGCAACTGTGAGGAAGGAAAAAAAGGGAAAAAATTAAAACATCTAAACCCCTTGATTATTACAATGATGGTTGAATAAAAATATCTTTACCTGGCACTGGAAGGAGGACAGCGTTGGGGCCAGGCGGACCTCTCTGGGGAGCGCATTCCATAGCCTGGCTGCCACTGCAGAGAAGGCTCCCTCTGGGTAGACACCCTCCATTCTTCCTTCAAGGAGGGTTCCCGGAGCAAGGCCTCCCCTGCCAATCTTAAGGGGCACGAGGGCATATAGGGAAGGAGGCGATCCTTCAGGTATTCTGAACCTAAGCCCTTTAGGACTTTATAGGTTAATACCAGCACCTTGAATTGGGCCCGGACTTCAATTGGGAGCCAGTGAAGCTGGTAGATAAATTAATATCATTTCTATACCCTCACAGCCAAAGTGGCCCGAGCAGTTTACACTTTCCGATGCGCATTTAGACAGCAAAAGGTCTTAAAAATCTCAGCGTGGCTCAACTAGCCACCTGTCGAAAGCTGTTTTAGGGTGCAGAAGATCTCACCCTAACAGGTTTAGTGCACCAAGGCCAAGATCACGCACTCCCAGTCATGATAAACAGGTGCAAAAGCTGGGCAGTTCAGAAAGGCAGAAGGAAGAAAGGGGATGCATTCAAACCATGGTGCTGGAGAAGAGCTTTGCAAATCTTCCAGACCCTCAGAAAGATGCACAAGAGGGTGCTAGAGCAAGTCAAGCCAGAGTTGCCAGGATTCAGGCGCCAGGCAAAAACTGAGTTTGGTTTAAATTGCTTTATTCTAATGTTCTGTATAATATTTTAACTTTGATATATTGTGTTTGACATTTGCATTCCGTTGTTAATTTATGTTGAATATGCTGAGTTGATGTGATTGATTTTAGAATGTTGTGTGTTTTTATGTGAGCTGCACAGAGAGCCCAGATAACAAATAAACTTGCCGTGGAAGCAAAAATGATGAACTTGAAGCCGTTGTACTCCAAGCACATCAAAAGAAGGCAAGACTTGCTGGAGATGACAATCACACTAAGGAAAACTGAAGGCGGAAGGGAAGGGAAAGCCCAAGCAGGAGATGGGCTGATTCCATAAAAGAAGCCAAACACATACGCACACGCGCGTGCGTGTGTGCGGACTGGACTGAAAACAGGCTGGTGCGGTGGCCATGAATGCGTTTAGTGTGCTCGGTGACTATGCTATGCCAAGCTTGAATCTACGGAAGAAAAGCAGAATGACTATTCACAACACCAGGAATCGGCAACAGACTCCTCAGCAGCTCCCAAAAGCCAACAGGAATCGGCAACAGACTCCTCAGCAGCTCCCAAAAGCCAACTTGAATCCACATGCACCAGGATAAAAATCAGGATGGAAAGGGCCTGGTTAAGAACAGCATCCACACCGAAGCAACCTCTTCTCCATTTCGGAGGAAGCCCAATGGACGACTCCCATCATGCCTCACTCCATTCCACTGCCTCCGGAATCTCTTTGTGCTGCCGCCATCTTGATTTCGTCTGGGAAGGCCACTGCGGAAGCAGGAGCTGCCCCGAGCAATGACTTTCCTCTCAGGGCGAAAACACGCACACGGCCACAGCGGGTCACTATTTTAAGCAAGTAGCCCCAGCAAGCGCTCTTGGAGCGCGCCGCTGACGGGAGGCCGAATCGTTCCGCATTTCTGGCTTTGCAGCGGATGCCCACCAGGCCTCTCCCAGACCTGGCACACGCCAGCGCCCTGAGCCAAGCCCCGGGCACAGCATGACCCCGCGGCCTCGGGCTGACTCGTCACCCTTTGCCCACCACCAAAGCCGGAGAGAGGGTGCAGGGACGGGCCTCTTACCTGGTGTGCTTCTGGAACCCAATTTCCCTCGGGATGGAGAGGGGCAAGATGACCAGGATGCTCAGCGCAGACAAGGCGAAGCGGTGGTCCGCGAACCAGTCATGGCGAGCCGCCCCTCCGCTCGCCGTGTCGTTGGGGCGGAAGGAGTCGCACACTGGGGAGGGAAGCGCCCGTAAGGAGGCGTTGGGTGGCCGGCCTTCTCACGTGTGGCTCTGGCTTTTCCTCGGGGTCCCCAGGGGCTGCCATGGCCTCGCACGAGATTCCAGTTGGTTCGGTACAGTGGCGCGATGGCAAACTTAGAAATGGGGGGGGGTCCTTTCAGAGAGTCAGAGCCACGCCCCCCACCCACACCTCTTTCCACACCTTATGCCACCTGTACAATAAGAACGAGCTTCGTCGCCTTGCTGGAGTTCTGGTTGCGTAATGAATGCAAGAAGAGGGGGTCTCTTTTTGAGTGAAGTCGTGACAGCATCTACAAGGTATTTCTTATCTTATTACGAATGAATTGTTTTTTAATTACATTCTCTCCCCACTCCAAAAGGTCCCCGGGCGGCTTCTGTGGAACGAGGCAGGCAGTTCCTGCCGCAGGCTTGCTGTCTCAGGGCATGGGGTGCAGCAGCTGAGCAGGAGCAAAAGTGCGGCAGAAGCCGCGGGCGTCAGCCGGGCAGGCCTCTCCGGACAGGGGCTTCCCCAGAGCCGCTGGGAGCCGCCGGAACAGCACCCTGAATCCGACAAATCCGGGACTCCGGCCAGCCGGGAACCAGCAAAATTAAGTCTCTTGACGAGTGGTGGGAGGAAGGGTGACCCTGGATCCAGTGACACCCCCCCCCCCGAGGGCCTCCTCCATAATAAGTGAGGGGGGGCTATGATCCCCTCTGTACCACCCTGGAACCAGGTCTGATGAACCGCAATAAAGAATTGTTTTAACAAAATAATTATCTTACTCGTCACTGCTGCATTGTGCTTTTGAGCTGCCTTCACCAACCTGGCGACTCCCAGATGTGCTGGACTACAATTCCCATAACATACAGCCAGCATGCAGACAAGGGATTATGGGAGTTGCAACCCAACACACCTGAAGGGCCCGAAGTTAGGAAAGGCTGCCTTCGAGGTCGGTTCAATTGTATCTGACCTATCACATTCATAATCCACTGCTCCATGAGCTCAAGGTGGCATAAATGAGAATTTCCCCACATATGTGAGGCTACCGGTTTAATGGACTGAAGCAACTTCAGTCAAATCCCACAATTGCCACAAGGTCATCAGGCAAGTCAGTATCCCAGTTCGCATGTAACAGCAACAAACAACGGATTAATTCGCCTACGATTTACCAGGGTCAAATGCTGCTGCTATTTTCATTACACAACCTCCAAACTGTAGTTCTTTTGTAACATGCAAACTCAGACACTATGTGGGTTAAGCAATCCACCATGAACCTCCAATTAGTCCTCAGATTAACTGTGGGCTGTTTAACCCCTGGTTAACCTGTAGTGTCCAACTTGGCACAGCACAAAATCGGGCCAATCAGAGGTTGCATATCCAGAATGGCAGCAGCGCTGCCACTGCTACGTGAGAATGGCCCCGGTCTCCTGGTCTCACTGGGGTGCCCCACTTCGGATTGCTCTACACACATGCTGATTTCCTTGCTTCAACTTCCTCTCTGGCCCTCCCCAGCCAGGCTTCTATTTGCCCTGCTAAAGAGCAGAGCCACATGGGGAAATGCAAATAAAGTTTACATTCGATTTCTGTTTTATTAATTTAAAGCATTAATTTCTGTTTTGCTGGGGAGCAGTACTTGGTATTATTAATTGCAACTCATGGATCATTGTTACATTGCTGGTCAGAATGGAACAGGCTACACATCCAGGTAACGAGGGGTTAGCAAAGTCCGGGGAGCCAAATCTGGCTTTGTTGGGTGGGGGAGGCTCACATTTCTCTAACTGGTCCCCCATGACTCTGAGAAAAGCCACGGAAATCATGAAGAGGTTGAGAATGAAGCAGGCTTCGCACAGCTTCCCGACGGCGGCCCCACAGATCTCCCGCACCACGCCCTGGTATGTCGTCTGGGTGCTGATGGAGGTGGAATAGCCGAGGATCACTAGGCCACTAATGAGGAAGATCAAAGAGCCCTGCAGAAAGGGGGGGAAGGCAGAAAGGGGATGAGACGCCTGTGGGACACGGGAGACCCGTAGAAGCAGCGGGAGGCAACCGCTTCTGTTCCAGAAGCCACCCCTGGCAGTGGATGTGGGGAGAAAAGCTCTCGCCCGGAGACGGGAGGAGGACGCAGAATCCTCCTCTGCATTTTCCTGGGGAGCCAAACTAAGGCGCGGATGCTTTGTCAGCACATACCAGCTTCATCGCGTTGGCTCTTCACCCAGGTGCCACTGATTGCTCCAAGGAAACAAACACCGAAAAGGAAAATGCGGATCAGTTTCTGTTTTGGTTCTTACTAATTCCTGATATTAATTCTATTCTCATTCACATTTTTATTAAGCAAATTAGCTTGCTTGTGTTCCTAGAGGATACTTTTATCAGGAGCTACAGTTGATGAATATTTTTTCCGGTTTCATTCCAAATATAGTTCTGAGTGACAAGCAAGCAACCCCTCCCCATTATTCCAGGTGTACAGTTTTGCAAACTGTGAGGAAAAGTTGAATTAAAATCATGAATCATTAGGGATGGAATCCGAGAAGGTTTTACTTAGGAAAGAGCACCTATTTAAAAAAAATCTGTCCATTCACAACAGAACCATATGTTTACTCCAGTATATTCAGTGCCGCTTACTTAAAAGTAAGTCAGTGTGTAAGCTTAAGACCAGGGCATCTCCATAAAGTAACAGAAAAAAGCTGGATTTGGGGAAAACTACAAAGGCATTTAGTTCCCACTCAGTTATTAAAAGACTCAGTTACAGAGGCTTCTAATGCCCCATGGATTACAGGTCTGTATTTAATCCCCCAGAAGGTAACTGTTAGAGTTGTGATCATTCTAGGGAGAATTTTACTTATTGAAACCTGTCATGGGGCTGGACAAGAAATATTTCTGGCAAAAGATATTCAAAGTAATTTAGGAAAGAAAATGCTGCCATATACCACATCCCTCCAAAAGAATAACACATTACTCACACAAACAAGGTATGTATACTGAAAGCAATTCAATAGGACTGTGATAAAAGTATGTAAAACTGCAAAAACAAAAACAAAAAAACTTATGGCATCTTAAAGACAAAGATGTTTAATCCAAGCTTTCCTCCAAGAACAATCATGGTTTCTTCTCATTCATAATCACCTCCAAAACATTTTATCCTGGCCCTAGATTTCCCGGACTGATGCCATAATAAATCTGCCGATCTTTTAAGTGACTTGAGATTTTTTTTTATTTTTTTTATTTTATTTGCTGCAAATGGACTGGTAGTCCTAGAACTCATCCCATTAAAGTGGCAGTGTGTGTTTTAATTCCACAGTTCCAAAGTAAGCCCTTCCAGTATATTTCAGACCACACAGAGCTCATTCCTGGGGAAAATCTGCGTAAGGCCTCTTCTTCAAATCCCAGTCTGCTGAGAGAACAGGGTTTGAGGCGCAAGCGTATCTGACTGGGGCATCCTGAAATTCCTGGAGGAAGGAAATGCACTGGCATGGATTATTTTGGAATGTTGACTCACCGCCCCTTTTGCTCACCTCACTGCTTTCTCACCTCTTGGCGTCCTTTGTGGGAATGAGCATTTTGCCAGATGCTGCAGCTTGGGGCCGGGTTAGCTGAGGGACTGCCACCTCCCATACCATACGGCCTGCCCCTCCCGGGCCCTGAGGTCTTCCCCCACCCGCTTCTCAGGGGGCCTCTCCCAAAGGACTTGAGGCCGCTGGCTACCACAGAGAGGGTGGCACTTTCTGGGGGTGGCTGCCCGGTTGCAGAAAGAACTCCCCAAATAGGCGTGCCTGGCACCTACTTTGCATCCCTTTTGGCACCAGGTGAAGACCTTTTTATGCTCCCAGCATTTTAACCGTTTAACTTTTTAACTTTATTTTTATACATTTGCATTTTATTCTGTGCCTCTGCTATGCTTCTGTGCTGATCTAATGCCAATCACTATTACGGTTTTGTTGTTTTAAATTATTGTTTGTTTGGCTTTGTGCACTTTTAATTTTAACTTTTGCTAACCACCCGGACAGCCTCAGCTATTGGGTGGTATAAAAACGAAATAACTAAATTAATGAAATCATAAGGAGCAGCCCTTGTTTATCTGATGTAGAACAAGGTGGCTGAAATCAGTGGGGCTTGCATTAGTCCTGACAGCTTTAAGCTGCATTCATTGCAATGGGCTACTCCGTGTAGGACTAACATTGAAAAATACACGGAGCAATGCCCTCTCTGTTACCGACCTGTCAAAACCCTTCTCTGAATATTTCTTCCTTTGGCAGGAGAGGCGGATATCAGCTAAGAAGGATTTTTCCATGGTGGTGCCCAATTTTCACTGGCACCTTGTGACTGAACCAGCCGTTTTCAAAACCCTCTTTTGAGCACTTATCTTATATTGCAATCAATCTTGTTTTAACTGGTTCGTGTCTTTCTTAGTCTGCGGGTGTGAAGCACCCTGCAATCTGTTTTCACAGATGTAATTTTTTAAATAAATAAAATGCATGTAGCAACTCTGAACATAGCAAAAAAGGAAAAAACCCAACCTTTAGTTCACTCACTCACGCTTTCGCCCTAAACACACTTACCAGACAATAAGTGCCAATGAACCTTTCAAGTAAATATACCTAGACTCAGGTTGTCAATAAAGGGACATGCTTAGTTCTCAAGCATCTCACATTACCCCTTTCTTTCTCTGTTTGCCCACTTTTGTCTTCTGAAATCTAAATACACTGTTATAATTTGGAATGAGTGTCCTCCTTGGGGCAGGTTTCCTTTTTCTCTTGTTTATTCCATTCAGCAAACTAAATGTTATATTGCAGTACACAACACAGGAAAAGCCCAGGAATACAAACAGGGTGAAGCAGGGTGTGGGATGACTGGCCCTCCAGACTACAACTCCCATCAGCCCTGCCCCACATAACCAGTGATTGAGGAGTATGGGAATTGTAGGCTATAATATCTGCAGCGATAGAAGCTGCCCAGCCATGACGGAAACATCCTGCCTTTTATTAGAAGTTATAAATATTAGAACATATAAATAAGTTGAAAATACAGGACCAAAGTAATAGGACCAAAATCATCAAAATCAAATCGGTCAAGGACCAGAGAGCCCAACCAGCAATGCCGTCTCCGCTGAAAGTCACATGTTGGTGCCTGCAGATCTCACTAAATGATATATAAATGGCTAACAACTAAGACTCAAGAACTGCCATGCACAACTAATGAGGGAAGCGAACAAGAAAGCTACAGACACATTTTGGTGCTGCTTTTCAGGGAAGGAGAAATAGAAAAGAAAAGGCACAAAGGGGAAAACAAGGTTTTAGGCAGCAAGGAAAGGAAAGAGACCAGCAAGAAAAGGTTTCCTTCCCCCGTGCTGTGAGGTGTCCACAGACAACGGGGCAGTGGTCCGAATGACCCGTGGCCAAGGTGCCCCTGGTTCGAGGCCATGAGGTTACGAGAGGATCCCGGCCAGCGCCTCCTGCCCTCTCTCCCATAGTCCAGCCTACCTAGCAGGGTTGTTCCATGGCTAAGCCCAGGGAGCAAAGAAGCACAGAGCATTGGGAGAGTGAAAACCAGGATGCAAGCATACTTAGTACATTAAGGCCATGATCCTGGCTGGGGAACACGAGGAGCTGCAGGGCTGCTTCTGTGTAAAAGGCACAGGACTGAGTCCAGACTAAAGTTCATCCCCTGCCCCACCATTTCCAAAGCCTGTTTTCAACCCAAACACATGCACTGCGACAAGGAAAAAGTGTTCTTGAGCAGATGCAGAACGTCATTCCAGAGAGAGCATCTTCACACACCCTGGGGGGAGCAGGTGTCATTGGGGGGCCAGATTCTGCACTCCACGCCCCTTTTCTCCTCCCTTTATGAAACGCTCCCTTTTCTAGAGACACTCAGAAGCAAGCCACGTGGCACTGGTGCGGCGGGCTTGGCCCCAGACCAGCGGGGCTACGACTGGACCGGGCCAGCTCAGCCGCGCACCTGCGGCTCCAGCCAGAGACTTACCAGCTCCACCAGGACAGCCGGGCCAATTCCCCCGGCCCGGTTGAACGCCCAGGGGAAATTGAGGAGCCCGGCGCCCAGGGCCGACTTCAGCAGGATGAAGACAGCTCCCGAGGAGGAGAGGCTGGGCCGGTCCGACTCCAAAGAAGGCTTGGCCAGCAAGCTGATGCTTTCCCGAGCCAGCTCTTCCATGTCTGGAAAAGAGAAGGGAGGCTGAGAGAGCTTCCGCGTTTGCTACCGTCTCAAGATCCAGCAGGGCTACGCCGGCATCGCGCAGGTGCCTAGGTTCCTCTTCAGGTGCCAAAGCCAAGGGGCTCGCTCCACCCGGAGCGGCCGGACGGCGAGGAGAAGAGGGATTTGCTCGCCCCAACACCGCAAAGGAGGGCTGAAAAGGGGGTGGGGTGGGGAGCGAAGCTCAGATTTCAGGCAGGGGCCAGAGGGATGCGAACCTGCGCGCACTCGCTCATGCTCGAGTGAGAAGGGCTGCGCTGGGGCGGGCTCCCCACGGCTTGATTTCATTAGCAAGTCCAGCTGGGAAGGTTAAACTTGGGCTTTAAGAAAATAGCGGCAGGATCCGAGCTCCTGCAGGAAGATGCTTGCTGGCAGGGGCCGAAATGAGCCGGTGTGGCTGGGCGGGGGGAGCCTTTCCCCCTCTCCCATATTTGAAGCAGCTGGCTTGACCGAAGCATCTGGAAAGGGGTGATGTTCTGGGGACATTTCAAGGGGGCCTGACCCTGGCATTGCAGTGAATGGGAGTGGCGGAGTGGCAGCTTGTGCTTCTGGGGTGCCCCACTGCTGCCCCCCCCCCTCTCCCAGCCAAGGAGGCCCTGCGCGCTTTTGCCGGAGCATCCCTGGAAACTCCCCTGTGACGGCCGTTCCTGCTGCCCTGCACGCCTCGGCATGGGGATTGCTTTTGCGGTTGGGATTCCTCACCCGCCGCAGTGTTCGGGTACTTTCCCCCTCCCGCCAGCCTCCAGGGCTTCTGCTGCTGGCCTTTCCAAGCACCTTCGTGCCTTTTTAGCTTTTGAAGGGTTAGCACTCCATGTGATACTGCGAATAAACATGTCTCCTCTTCTGCACTGTCATCTTGTGGTTTTGTAATGGAACACAAGGAAAGGCAGAGGAAATAAACCCATAAATGAGCCAGTCTGGATCCTGCAAAGAACCCAAGAGCAGGAGCATTTAGTGGCAGAGGCTCACCTGGACGAGCTCACAGATTCGAGGGCTAAAACATTTTATGGGGGCAGAGCAGTTCTGGGGCTTTACCAAGGGGTGATCTGCACTCGGCAGTTTTATGGGTATTGTAGTACCTGACCTACTGGCCTATCACACAATGCTCACCCAAGCCATCCTCCTCGTGTGCTTTCTCCCATGGCATCCTGGATTTCTTCAGAAAGGCCATGGCCACAAGTGCTTATTTTGTGCCCCAAACCCTCACGTTTCTCAGTTTGCAGCACCTTCCCGTGGCATTGCCGTCCTCAGGGGCTTTTGTGCTCCCCAGAGCATTTCTGAGCTGTTTCTTAGAATGAGCTGTCTTGTCGTTTGCCCATCACACAAAATTGTGCTCAGAGGGGTGTATTTTGCAATTCCACTATCCTGCAGCAGTACCAGTAACAGAGCAGGTGGGAAGGCAGAGAAGCACCCTGGTTCCCAAACAAAATCATGTTTGAAAGAAGCACTCTTACTCCTTCAAGAAGAAGACGACAACGATGAAAACAACCTTGATAAAATTGAAGGTTAAACGCCTCACGTGGAAGAGATCTACATCACAAATCTTCCGCGCATTTTGTTTTCATGCATTTTGAATTGCAGTGTGTGCTAAACTAGGTACTCTTATGTGGGACAGGAGGATGCTTAAGGGGCTGGGGATGATGGGCACTGGAATGTGGCATGCAGCCCATAAATGCTGTAGAAAGAGGCACCGACAGATTCATGGTCTTACAAAAGTCAGCAAAACGTGAGAGGAGACAGCCAAAGAAGCTTTGCTGCCTGGGATAGGTGACTAAATTCCCCCTGCCCTGGGACTAGATTTATTCTATACCTTGTTAGCATTCCTCATTTTGGTAGTTTACATATTATGGCAATTTATTTATATTTAGATTTGTGTATATTTCTGTTTTTATTTATTTATTTAGAATTTTTGTATGCCGTCCCATTGCATAGCCTCGGGTTTTGGGTTTAATTGTATGCGTTCTTAATGTTGGAAGCTGATTTGAGCCCCAGTATGGAGAATAACAGGCAGGGTGTAAATGTAAGAGTGATAATCCCCCTTTCGGCCTCCACCGTGTGTTGTGAAGAAAAACACAATGCTGTTTAACTCTTGGAGAAAAGGCAGAATAGAAAAGTAGTGCATAAAGAGAGAGCCAGTGTGGCGTAGTGGTTAAGAGCGCGGGACTGGGATGCAGGTGATCCGGGTTCGAGTCCCCGCTCGGCCATGGAGCCCACTGGGTGGTTTTGGGCCAGTCACAGACTCTCAGCCCAGCCTCCCTCGCAGGGTTGTTGTTGTGCGGATAAGATGGAGGAGGAGAATGATGTAAGCTGCCTTGAGCCCTTTGAGGAAAAAAACAGGATATAAATAAATAAATAAAGTGGAGGAAAGCTATAGCTTTAAAAAAAGTCCTGTACATCATATCAGTAACCATTCAGAGTACGTCTCCCCACTAACTTCCTACTAAAATTTGGGGGCGCGAATTCTTGGCACTCACACTAAAAAAAAAAACTGTGTAAATGAAAAGCACCCTCTCACCTCTCAGATGCCTCCTTCGGCATGATCATCAATGCTAAGAAATTTTGGAAGCACACTTCTGCACAGGTCTACTCAGAAGTACGTCCCATTGAGTTCAACAGGGCTTGCTCTGAGACAAGGGCTCCTAGAATTGCAGGCATCTAGCACGATCCTAGGAACGTTTACTCAGACACAAAGTCCACTGCATTGCATAAGACTTACTCGCATGCAGGGAGTGTGTGCATACAATTGTAACAGAACTCCTTCTTTTCCCTTCCTCCAGGTGCCTGAACAGCCATCACTGCCTCATAACTACATTCTAATGGCCTACCGTTAGGATACTGACACTGGACTGCGATGAAGGAGTTCAAGCTTTATTTGCATTGGTAGGCGGCAATTTTTATCCAGCTCCACTGGCTCCCAGTTGAAGTCCGGGCCCGATTCAAGGTGCTGGTTTTGACCTATAAAGCCCTGAACGGCTCTGAACCAGGATACCTGAAGGAACATCTTCCTTATGTGCCTTCACGCCCCTTAAAATCTGTGGGAGAGGCCCTGCTCCGGGAACCCTCCCTGAAGGAGGTCAAAAGGGCAACTACTCGGGGTAGGGCCTTCTCTGCCGTGGCACCCAGATTATGGAATGCGCTCCCCGGAGAGGTTCGCCTGGCGCTGAGCTTATACTCCTTTTGGCGCCAGGTCAAAACCTTTTTATTTAACGGATATTTTAAAAACTAGTATTTAATGTAGCAGTCTCATTTGATTGGTTATATGTCATTTTTTGCTCAGATTGTTTTTAATGGATCTGATTGTTATGTATTGATTGTGAGCTGTCCCAAGATGCCTTGCATAAGGGACGGCATACAACAGTTTTAAATAAATAAAATGTGTTTATAGACTCCTAAAAAAGTTTGTCTTTCTGTTTGAATGAAACTAACCTTGGGCTGAAAAGAGTGTACGTCTTTGCAGTCCTTGCCTGTCAGTTTGGACCGGAAATGCTGCTGGACTTTCTGGGCCTCTCGGCGGTTTTCCGTGGGAAATAATCACTGCTGAGTGAGGGGAGACCCCAAGCAGATTCGACATGGAGCTGCAGGCTCGGCTGAGGGCAGTGGCCAGTCTGCCCCTATCTCTGTGGCCATGGCTCCTTGCCTCAGTGCTCTGAAATGCCAAATCAGATAGGCTTGCTGGTCCCAAGAGGACCAGACACGATTGCATGGAGCAGTCCAACTGCTATCTCAGGTTCCGCCTGGTCCTCTTTTTCATGATCTGAAAGCTGAGATACAGGCGAACCCTGCGGTTAACCCCACAGCCCAAGGCTTAGTCCAGCCAGTTTGGTCCATAAGTACAGGGTCCATTGGATTCCCTGGGCCCAGCCTGCCTGCCCCCAGCCCAGAGTTCGAGGTCCTCATGAGCCTGCTCAGCATCGGAGGGGTGCTCCCGAAGAATCAAGCTCCACCCACTGTACAAGCAGGGTCCCTCTTCCACCCTGATGGGGAAGAAGGTCATCTGCTCGGCTTCAGCAGGAAGGGAGCCCTGCATGTCCCTCTGCATCATCTGAAGCAGCTCGTTCTGCGGGCGTTTACAGACTTCCTCTTGGCTCAGTGCACTTCCTATGTCCTGGCTGAGCGTGAGAGCATGAATGCTAGAAGTGGAGATTTTATCTCCGTCTTTCCACACTAGCAAGCCATTTGTCATAAGCGGGGCCAGCTGGAGCTGGGGGTCAGACTAGATGGCCCAGGAGACCCCTTCTGACTTGCTCTGTTTCTGGGTGTCTATGCTTCTATGTTGTGGACCAGAAATAGAAAGGAATACTGCATAAAGTGTTGTGCTGTTGAGTTGTGAATCCTGGGTTGTTTAAACCATAGAATGTCATGATGAATGAACCAATGGATTGTTCATGGGTTGTTACGACAGCTGGTGGGCAAGAATGGCCGAAAATCCTCGCTGCTTTATATGACCATACTTCAGAACTGCAAAGACATTAGGATCCAATGTGACAGCAGGAATGGAAACAAAAAAAGCAAACCATATTTTGTTCTTGTCTGTACAACAAACCCAGGGTAGGGCAACAAACCACAGTTTAAATAAGCCATGGATTAACATTATGTGTAAGCCAGGCCAACACGTTTTCACTGGGAAAATTCATTTGCTCCAGCTGCCATGAGTACTGCAGGAGAATTCAGAAGGAAGGGGGAAGTCTGAAGGAGGTATTCAATGACACCATCATCCCCACTAATCAGCATTCTTGGGGCTTTGACCCTGCACCATTGTCCTGCCTCTACATTACAACACACACTAAAAGTCTTCCTGTACATTCTAAGTTTATTTATTTAATGTATTTATTATATCTATTGGAAGTCTATCTGCTGATTCATAAGAGCTAGGAACTTTAAAAACAAATAAAAATTAGATTCCCAAAAGTTGAATTTTACTGTATTTATTATATGTATACCCCACCGTTCTCCCATTGTGGAA